ACCCACCAACATAGCCTCAAGGTATCACACCTTGGCACATTTGGTGTCTCCACACCATCGGCTCCACGAGCCTACCTCTATGACATTTCCCCTTCGTGTCTAAGTCTTTGCCAAAACCAACACCGCTCTTTCTCATGCCAACCATCCGTTAGCACTGCACTATAGAGGTCACACACAACTTTATGTCAACCTCGGTCTTCGATTTAGTCTTAGCCTCGATCTTAGATATAGTCTCAATTTCCATCTTAGACTCGACCTCAAACTTCATCTCGAACTCCTTCTCAAACTCCATTTCGGACTCCATTTCGAACTCTATTTTAGACTTTTTCTTAGACTCCATCTCGAACTTGATCCTGACACTTCCATGTGTCACAACACTTGCCATATGTTAGTCCCTTTTATGTCCCTTTCTAGAGACTCAATCACTTTATACTCCTTCCTCAAGCACTTTGTTTAGAGTTCCACTCCCACTCTCAACTTTTTGAGTTAAAGTTTTTGGTCCAAATGTGTTACATTTATTAGATTTCCACTTTGACCACTACCATGTGGCACCTTTTTAACTCCACTTTGGGGCTTAGAGTTTTATGTCTCACATTAGTCTTACAAATGATTTTATTGCTATTAATGTTACTATCTTGGATTCTCTTTATAAAGAAGTTCAACATCAACTTTCTTATGCTCAAGCTACTCATTAACATATTATTAATCCTTTTTGCCAACCTAATCCTTCTTGCACAAATGGATTAAAAGTTTTGCTTCTTTATCATTATTGGAAGACTTTATGCCTTTGTAATAAACTAGATTATTAATATCTAGGTTGTTTCTCTATACTCTAATCTTCCACCATCCATAGAGTATTCTATATTTTTTTTATTAAAAACTTATCACGCCCTTTATGATCCCATTTATATTCCACCATCACCTACTTCAAAGATTGCTAATAAGTAGGAGTTTGAAGTTATTGTTATCCTTGACTTGAAGTATTAATACTGCAAATTATATTATTTGATTGACGGCTTAGGTATTTTCTTAGTGATCATATTTAAAAACTTACTTCTCATATTGCTCATACTTTTGAATCAGTTGTGACAAAGTGTCACAACTTTCAAGAGATGAGCTAAAGATCCCATTGCACATGATCTCTAAGCTCTCTAACAATAACTATGAAAGATTGCTTCCCATTTCTTTTGAAATAATCTTCCATATCTAGTAGAAAAGCACCCACAAAGGACTTATGCACATAAAAATTTAACGATATATATTTAAACTAATAGTATTTGTTAATTGAATATTTTTTTATATGGCAAAAATTTCTAAATCTCAAAAGACTTTTTATAAGTAACTAAAAAGAACAAATTAAAAGACAATTTATAACCTCCTTTTTCAATTGATTAAAAGTATTGGAATATTTGGGTTTAAGCATCTTTAGGTTTGGATAATACTAACATGGGTGACCTTTTGGAAAATTTAAATTCATGAGTTTATCAGTTCAATTTGCCTTTAGTTGGGCTCAACCTGAGAAGTAAAGTGTCAAGAGAATAGAGCTCTCTAGAGGAAAGCTAAAGCTTTCAGCTTTCAACCAAAGAAAATAACTCTATAAATGAGTAGGGAAAGGATTTATGAACAAAAGTACACCACTTTTTCTCAATCAAGATACTTGAGTTTAAGCATCTTTGGATTTAAATAGTATTAGCTATATAATTTCCCAGGAAGTTCAAATTCAAGAACTTACACTTTTATCATTTTGAGAAATTAAACATGCATCTAATAAAGTGATCCTAATCTTGGCTTAATCTACAACTAGCTTCCCAATCCATTTCTATTGATAAACTACAATAATGTAATGCACTTTATTTCTCTCCCCTTAAGCCAACTGGAAAAAGGGCAATTGCTTGATGAAAGAGCCTTTAGTGGTTATTTTATCCCCATTTATCACTCAAGGTTCCAAGGATCCACGGTGACAATATATCCAAATCTCATCCCATGATCACATGCGCTACAAATAATCACTTGCTCAACTACTTACAAAGAGTGAAGATGTAGCTAAAGGTGCTCGAAGGAGCAACTTTGAAATGGTCATTTAATTATCTAAGTACTACAACATCAATTGATAGGTAAAGACCTAGAGTTCTCCTAAAAAGTTGTTATTCACTAGATCTTCCATGAGATCATAGTGTACAGATCAAATGGCCTAGTCATATTTTTCTGGAGCATTTATTGAAAGTCAAATTACTTGCATTTACTTCTTATCCCCAATCAATCAATCATCTTACAATGACCATGCTATGCTTGATCCAGGAGCTATTCTCAATTTAAAGACGAATGGCTTTAGAGCAATTCTCATAGGATGAGTCCATGAAAGCCATTAGATACCTAGGTATATACCATTATATGTAAAAAAATTAACCAATATAAATAGAAACCATGAGCCCTAAGGGTTTGGCTATGCTCGGGATGAAATCTGCTTACTGGTAAAGCTATTCTGATGCTAAAGGTCATCTATATTTCCCAACTTGGAACTATGGACAAAGTATGCCATAACATCTGAGACTAGGGGCTTTAAATGGAGAAGGTGATTCATATATATTTGTTGGATGAAGAAACTAACACCGTGCAACATGCACAAGTTGAAGGATGAACTCAACAAAATTTCATAATTAGTTAATGAGAGTCCATTTGAATTGCTTACTTATATTCAACATTTCCTGGCTTATTAACTACTTTGAATGTAAACCAACATTGATCAAATTGCAAGAGGACATGGATGAATGAGTTCCTATTCTTGAATCAATCATGGCCAAATGCTTGTTTGTTTGTTCGTGTACTTATTAGATTTTCTTGGGACTGCAAATTCAAGCTTTTTCTGTGATTGATATGATGAGAGGAGAAGTCTAGTTTTTTCAGATAATTTCAAAATGTCACCCACACAGTGATGATCATAAGAGACCTACGTCTAATAAACTTTCAAATTTTGCCTCTAGAGATGGTTAAGCACACTCCTCATAGTAACTTTTTGTCACTCACTCGTGCAGTCCAGCTTATATCTTTGAAAAGACATAGCGATGATCAACAAGCGTTTTTTTAAAATTTAAAATTTAAATCTTAACTGTCAACATGCACTTGGTGGGGAGTTCCTTTTTAATTGGCCTTTCCAATCAACTAGCAAAATCTAGAAGAAAGAATTAAAGTAACACAAATATGCATGCATACACATTTGCTATATCCAGTCTGGATACTGCTCATCCGTCTCCCTCAACTGTGCCTTTGGTGCCTATCGTCAACAGTCCATGAAAGAATTTTGTTCCCTGCAATAATCCGGAGGAGTGTTTGGACTAAACGAGAAAGAAAAGCGCTGAGATTAAAAGAAATGAAAATTAATCAATGTAAGATTGTAGAAGATTGGCCTGGAAAAGGAAACAAACCAACCGAAGTACTGAAAGAGTCACCAATGAACAAAATTAAGTAACTTACCAGGTTGCACTCCACATAAAGAGCAACGTAGTCATTCAAGCGTTTGCTATAGACAAGAACCTTGAAATCGTAGCTTTTGTCAGCGTCCTCCTCTCGCTCTGGAGCGTCCAATTCGGCTTTTCAAGCACTGCATCGACATCAAAAGCAGGAACTGACCAGCTAAAGTGTTGTGTGAAGAGCCCCAAGGCAAAGAGGTAAGTGGAATGAAGTGGCTGTACCCCGAACGTAGCCTTGGGCTCATCAATGCAGTATCGTGGCAATGCAGTCCTCCTTCTAACCACGAGGCACGGAGAACCTCTACATCACCATCGAAGACTTTATCTTTTGAAATAGGATTATGATGGAACCATTACCACGTCCAGAAGTGGATTGACTGCAAACTGGCACCAAGAAAGGATCTTCGCCTACGTCTTCATCCTCATCGTCTTTCCGTTTCACTCTGGAACCATACAAAACCCTAGAGGTCAACTTGGGTCAATAAAAATGAAGTAGAACACTTTAAAGCCCTTAGCCCTAAGAGGCATGGAAGAGAAGATTAACAGTGGCGATGGCGAGGAGAAGCGCAGGGCTGCGTTCAAGCACAAGACGGGCGGCCAGGGATGGGCCAAGCGAGTGCTTGTGGGATCATCAGCAGCAAGTGAGGTTTTATCTTCGTGTTCTTCGATCTGGCTACGATTCTAAGCTCGACAATGTATGATCCCGTGCAGCCGGGATTGGGGCAACCATCGGTTTGATCGGAGGTGCGGCCAAAGGGCATCCGGTGAGAGCGTTCGCGCTGCCAGTAACGATTAATTTCGCGATTGCTGGATCTTTCCTCTCTGGTAAGCATCATTTTTTTCTTTATAGAGATTCGCTAGTTTATGTTGTTATGGGGCACACTATTGGTGGACGAAAGAACTTACACGCGCTTTGGTTATTTGGTTCCATAGGCATGACAGAGGTGACTCGAGCGATGCTTCGGACGGAGCCCGGCTCGTATACAAACACGATTGGAGGGGGAATGATCAGCGGGATTGTTCTTGCCCGGCTGCAAGGTTTGTAACTTTCTTTTTCCATCCTCCAAGATCGATCGGACACTCAACAGGCATTGCTGCGAGTCCATTTTCAATGGGGCTTTTGTTTGCTGCGGTTGGAACCGGCTGCCAGTTTGCTGCGAATCAGTGGGACGAGTACAGGCTGAAGAAGTTCGTGGATACTCTTCCAGATGATGCGTTCCCGGAGGAGTTTCGTGAGACAAGGAAAGAGATGGTGGAGGAGGCAAACAAGGAGAGGTCATGGCCGTCGTGGTTGCCATTCAGGAAGCTCAGCGAGGAGGAATTCCAGCACAAGGCCGAGCTTGCGCGAAGGATGAAACAAGAAAGAGGGAGTGTAGACGAATGACAGGCTTGTTTTTTCTCCTCTAGGAATAGAGCTTTGTCGCAGATCGAACGAAAGAATATGACGAGTGTCTAGTGAATATGCCTCTAGAGCCGAGAAGAGTATATTCGGCGAATATAGGGTGGAGCTAGGGTTCTAAGTTCTAACAGAAAGAAAATACGAGAATGGCGTGTGGCGAGGAGGACGCTGTGCTGGATCTCACCAGCTCGCAGCTGCACGATCTTTCAGATGTCAATCTCCCGCCCGGCCTTGTGGAGCTGGATTTGACGGCGAATCGTCTCTCCTTCCTCGATCAGCGAATGCAACACCTCTCGCGCCTGAAGAAGCTCAGCTTGCGCCAAAATCTTCTCGCGGACGATGCTGTGCAGGCGCTCGGCGAGTGGCCCTCACTGTTTGGACTCCAAGTGAGTATTTCTCTTCCGGTGTATGGAGCTTGGTAGTGATTTCTTCTTTTATTTATCTTTGATCTTTCAGGAGCTAGTTTTGCGAGACAACAAGCTCACTAGACTTCCACCAGTTGGAGGGCTGTCGGAGCTAGTCGTGTTTGACGTCTCGTTCAACGAGCTCACATCGCTGGATGGCATGAACAAAGTTTGCTCGAAGCTGCGAGAGCTTTATCTGTCCAAGAACGAGATCGTCAAGATGGAGCAGCTTGAACATATGCAGGAGCTCCGCTTGCTCGAGCTAGGCTCCAATAGGATCCGGGTAACTTGCTTGTTCCATTCCACTTAAGGCTGTTTACCTTGGTAGGCTGACAGGTGCTGGAAGGAATTGAGAATATGAAGCGACTGGAGGAGCTCTGGCTAGGCCGAAATCGCATCAGGACCGTCAACCTTTGTGGCTTGACATCGATTGTCAAGCTTAGCTTGCAAAGCAACCGGCTGACATCAATGCTCGGTTTCGAGGTAGAGTTTCTCAATTTTGCTCTTCTTTTTTCCGATGCCTACTCGCCCAGGAATGCTTGGCGTTGGAAGAACTATACTTGAGCCACAATGGCATATCCAAAATGGAGGGACTTGCCACACTCGTCAATCTTCGAGTGCTGGATGTCTCTTCGAACAGGCTGACGTCTATCGCGGACGTCGAGAACCTTGAAAAGTACAACTTTTATGTTCACTTTTTCTCCACCCAGCTTTACGTTTTTCTCGCCTAGGCTCGAGGACTTGTGGTTGAATGACAACAACATTCCTTCTCTCGATGGCATCGAAACAATCCTCTCTGGTCCACGACAATCGTTATCCACAATCTATCTGGAGCGCAATCCATGCGTAAGTACAACTGCTTTACAAGTCACACCTTTTAATCGCCTTTTGGTCGCAGGCGTCTGATTCCTCGTACGTGAACAAGCTTATTGCAGCTCTTCCCAAGCTTGGGCAGATCGATTCGCGCGTTCTTTAGAAACCTTCCAACAGTCGACAAGCACCAGACGGAAAAAAAGATCTGAAATTTATAAGAGAATGCCTCTCACACTTCTCGCACCAAAACAACAAGTTATTCCTACGTTCCTCTACATCAAAAGCCAGGAAGCCGCCAGCACCTCGATGAAAGCAACGCCGCTGGTGAAAGAATGCCGCAGAGAGACGCCCGAGGTGCTGTTGCTCTTCCGGTTCGACGGATTGGCCGTGTTATTCGGAGACTGGGTACCTGGAGGCAGAGCTTCGGGTGCTGGAGAGGCTTGCTCAGCTCCAAACGGTGGTGACGCCTCTGGCCCAGCAGCAGTGACAAGGCTAGAGTTGTAGGCGAGGACCCTGTCGATGCCATGGCAGGCTATGAACCTGGTGGAGGAGCAGACGTCGGGATGGGTGATATTGACTTCGTTGAGGGTGAAGTTGCCGGGGGAATTGGAGGTGACCGTGATCATCTCTCCTTGGAGCATGGTTGGGAGCTCAGCACCGACATCATTCCTGGACAGCGCTTCGAAAGAAGTGGGGAAAGTGAGGACGTGATACTGGAGGGTGTTGATGATATCTTCCTGGGACAAGTTGGCATCGACACCGGCGATGGCGTTGTTGCTGGGGATGAGAAGGGTGGACCTTATGGGAATCAAGGTCTGCAGGGACTGGGCTACCGCTGCCGCGACGGTGAAGCCTTGGCCGATCATGTTGCTTACCAGTGGCTGGACGTCCGACGACGGAAGGATTCCATCGTCCGTGTCGTCCTGGGCAGCAGCGCGCTCCAAGCCGGAGCTCACGATCGTCACGACACCGACGAACAGGAGCACGAGAAGCGTTCGGGACTCCATCGCTCGCTCGACTCGTGAACTTGGATGAACTGGGAGGTGATGATCTTTCAGTTGCGATAGCAGTGGCTTATAAGATCGACCAGTTCGACGCATGCATGCATGCAAAGCTCCATCTGAGCTGTGAAGGGATGAGCACTCAAGCAACTCCAAGTTGTGTCTATGGTTGATACGAAATATAAGTGTCTGTTTTGATGATCTCATTCCTACTTTGTGGATTGAATGCGCGGTGTACGCGAGCTATACTACTACATACATACGGCACAAGTAGGAGCATTCATTGTGGAGCGGCCGGCTGTCTGGGTCAAGTCAGGAGCTCAGGGACGGGAGATGAAGAAATTGATTGATTTCTTGGTGGCAAGCTTTTCAGTTATGGTGGTGGTGCCAAACATGCGATTGCGAGCCAGCTACACGCCAGCCATGCTGCGAACAAGATCCGCCCCATATCGAAAGCCACAATCCGCCATAGCCATGCAAATACAACAAAACCCGCCACCTTTCATACATTTCCTTGTGATTCAACCGAGACAAACTGAAAGTAAAGCTAGGGTAACTAGTAGAATGAGTGCATTGCGGACAGGGAGGAAGGTTCGCCATTTCGCCATTCCTGCTACGAACGGGTCCTTGTGACTGTCGTTGACTCACTTTGACTGCGCTGACTGGGCGCCATACATTCTAAAGAGGTGGAACGCCGACACCGCTACCACGGGGAGGAAGGCGATGGTGGCCAGGAAGGCGTTGACGAGCGAGAAGCCGTAGATGAAGCAGTAGTGCTTGAAGTCGCTGCACACCTGGTTCCATCCCACTTTGGTCTCGCCGCGACGAGCGATGTAGCCCACCTCCGCCACTACTGTGGCCGCGCTCACCATCAAGTAGGCAATGAGCTGGGACGAAAGAGAGTGATGAGCAGCGAGAAAAGAAAATGGTGCATACCTGATCTAAGATGAATGTGACCCAAGCTCTCGATTTGGAACCCACAATGGATCCCGTGGTGAGAATCGTGAAAAGCCCCGCCAGCATTTGGAAGAACATGTAAGCGACCGCCACAGAGAGAGCTCCAACATAATACCTGCGAGTGGATTCTTGGTTGAAGCAGCAAGAGAAAGAAAAAGGAGAGGAAGAACCATCGAAAACTCACTGGACTCCTGTGATCTGCGAGAATGTAGCCGTCTTTTTGAGAAAAATCGTAGAAGCCATGCCAGGGAGCTTGATTGGAATGGATTGTGTTTGCTTGTTGGAGACCATGAGGGCGAGCGCGATGACGAGCAGCACCAGCGTGAGTGCTCGCAACGCCAGCACCGAGATCTTCATCTCGGCCGCGCTCCTGTTCTTCATATCGCCCAGAACTGGGACGTTTCCGGGACTTGGAGCATCCGCAACACCCATAGCTCTCCTCTCCTCTATATTCACTCGCTTCGCTCGCTGCAAAGTGATCTGATGGAGCCCCTGCCAAATGCGGCTAGTGGGCGCTCTCAAAATTCCAACTTTGGCGCTGTGCGCGATGGGTCCCTCTCGCTCTCTCACACTCTCCCTCGTGCGCTGATAAGCTAAGCTAAGCTAAGCTATCTTAGAGATTGATTGAGCGATGTGCGCCGCGCTACGAGTGAATGAATGATAAGCAAAAACAAAGGGGGGCGCGCGCGCTAAGTATGTGTCAAATTCCCAAGCGATGAACAAGGCGGTGGCACAGAGGCACAAGCGAGAGAGTTTTGGATTTGGGTCTCTCGGGAACAGCCCTTCGCTGATTGATTGATTGAGAAATCAATCTCGGTGCGAAATGCGATCACACACAACAAGGAAAGGAGCCCAGCGCCGGTGGTGGAGTGGAAATGGATAGTTGGTGCATCGGAAGAGGGGTCCCTTTTCTATTTATTTTCGCCACAAGGCTGGTGAGCGATGCGAAGCTTCTTTTGCCATTTCCCAGCATTGATTGTAGCTACCAAAAACTCCCCCAAAAAAGGAGAAATCCTCTAATCTCTCTCTCTCGTCGCAATTTGCAAACAAACACACACTTGGCGAGAACGCGATTTTTTAATGGAAATTTGTGGTTGTTCCGTTGTGTTTGCCACAAATCTTGTGCGATGAATGTGGTTTTAGAGCATATTCGCACAATCAAGATTCTTCCGCATAGTAGAGAATATTTACATAGTTAGGGTTAGGTTTAAGGCAAGAGAGAAAGCCCTATCCCACATGCCCAAAGCCTTTAGTATGACATTCATATAAATACCCTCGCCTAGTACCCTACTCATGTCTCTTCGGAGACACCAGATAAAATTGGAACGATACAGAGAAGATTAGCATGGCCCCTGCGCAAGGATGACACGCACAAATCGAGAAATGGTCCAAATTTTTTCTTCTTTTTCCGCCTTCAGCCTGGCTCCACATTGCGATCGAAACCATCCAGCACGCAAATCCCGCAAATCCTCGACTGGATGCCGCAAGTGCGAAAGCGTCGACATCGGGAGAACAGTGGCGTGGGCGAAGCTTTTGTTCAAGGAGATGATTGCTCGAAGAGGTGAGGGTGTGCGCTGCCTAGAGCGAGGTGCATTGCGAGGTAGAAGTTTGCTCGATGCCAAGGCAGCATGCGGAGCATCGCAATCTCGGCTTGCTCTAGGTTCTCGATCTCTTCCAAACCATCTCACTCTCGGGATTTTCTCAACGCTTGCGCTCGGATCGAAGGTGTGTCGATCCACCAGAGCTTGGTCCAAAGTGGGATGACCACCCGAGGTGTGTTCCAGACGATCGAGGAGCACAGTTGTGTGCTGTGAGCTTGTTCCACGAGATGCTCCGGCATGGGTTTAAGCCGAATTCAAGGTAACTTTCATGCCGATCCGAGCTCTTGCACGAAGAGATCGCAGCTCACTGACGTTCGCTTTCTGCTCTATGGAGAAGGTCGGGAACGCGCTGATAAGCATGTACGATGCTTGCGGGAACTTGGAGGACTTGGAGAAGGAGCCCAAGCGTAGACGGTGATAGATGGTGGCGAGGCCATGCAACTGCGTTCCTTCGTGCTGCTTGCCGCCCAGCCGAGGCACTCTTGAAAGGAGGTTTGATGTTGCATCACAAATCTCCCCACTATTTCAGAGTACTGAGACAGTCTACTTCGTGATTGAGTTGAAGGAACTCAAGTTGGTTGTTGTCGCTGTTCGTGGGACTGAAACGCCAGAAGATCTTTTCACGGATGGCCTGGGACGTGAATGCATCCTTGCCGACACTGACTACCACGGATTGCTCATGTAAGTAGTGCTCTCCCTCTCACTTCTTACAAGTTTGATACTCTGGCCATTTGTCTGACGTCAAATCCTCACTATTGCCATGCCGCTGTGGTGGCGGCGGCCAGAGAGCTTGCCTTCGAGCTAGACAGCCCCGAAGACAATCCTGAGTTTGCAGGTTTGGAAGAAAAAGCTTGCTCTTTGCTCATGTATGGATGTATGCACTTAGATTACAGGGAATGATGGTATGCATGCATGAGTTTGTTTCTCTCGTTTTCACTCTCTTTCGAGCAGCTATGGCACCGCTTTCCAAACGTACACACTGGCGTTCTTCCCTGTGTTGACATAGTTATCGCGGACCATTGTAACAAGGTGGGACGAAAGTTTCTCTCGATTCCTTTCATCCTGCACCACCTTTCCAGTGTCGTGTATAACGACGAGTCTGCATTGAGGCTGTCCGTGGCTTTGAGGCTCTGCACGGCCTCGCTTCGGGCTCTAGCAGTACATGAACTAAAGTGGCCAGAAGGTTCTTGGGCTCGAGGCGAGGCAATGGAGGAGCCACTAACGAAGACTCCAATCCATGTCCCAGTGGAGCATCGCAGTACAAGCGTTGCAAATGCGGCCAGAAGTCAAAGGTGGAGCCATTTTATAACTCTATTAGAGGTCTTCACATATCTCAGAGACACTGTTATAATCCTTCAGCACCAAATGAATCTTTTGCTTTGGATTAGAGCTGGAGGAGTTGCTTGGTTAACCAGGTCGGCAACTGCTACTGGCCAGTAAGGTCCGGTGGTTGTGGTGGCAACAACCACTCTAAGCCCTACGATAATACCAGCTAGCGAAAGAACCACTCAAAGCCTTACCACAGTGGCGGTGGTAGCAGTGGCAGCGGTGGCAGTGGCCGAGGTGGGGAGTGAAGCTTCAATTGGAGCAGTTCAATCAGCAATTGCAACAACTCGATGGAACTATTGGGGCAAAAGGGTTGCGGAATCACAGTCTACAAGAGTCCTGGTACAATCACATGTCCGGCATAAAAGTAAATATCACGATATCATGTAATTCTTGTTGTCATACCTGAGAGATAGTAAGTAAATATCAGATCTTCTATAAAGCTTGCTGTCTCAGGATCCTTTCACAGCAAAACCGCAACATCCCTCAGAGAGCAATGGACTCCAAGTTCCTGCCTGTTTCAGTGATCATCCTTAGTGGAAACTCCATGAACCAATCTGCAGCAGGTGCGGTCTCCATAATACACTTCTCAATAGCAGTTGCTAAAATTCTTCTTCTTCCTGTGTAGGTGGAGATAACAGCTACTAACATCTATAAACCTTTCCATAAACGCTTGGATGTTGCTGCCATCAAACCCAGGTAGACTGTAAATCTCTCCCACATCAAACGGTTTCATAGTTCCAGAAAGAAGATTCTCCCGAACTGTCCATGCTCTTTCCTGTACCTGAAACAAATAGGGGACTTTGCAGCACATCATAGAGTGCAAGGACGATGGGATTCAATAATGACTGCCCTTCCTGAGGAGTTCGGCCTGATATGAAGCGGCCCTTCATGCACTGTAATAATGACTGAGCTTCGTCTAACACAACTGTGGCACCCACCTCTTTTACCAGCTTTTCTATGCCGCTAGTGAAGTAATTAACGAAAGAGGGCACTTGATGGACTTCATGGACCAAACCAAGCAACTCCTCAGAAACACGTCATCAACTGCCGGATACTCCAGCGGCCAGTCTCGTGGAACAAGCCCTGGCTTACACTCTTTCAATAATTTAAGCCAAGTGAGCTGTGCAAGGATTAAGGCCCCCATGCCACACAGCACCACTGGATGCTCTGGGGTAATATTTCTTTCTCCTCCTGGAAAACTGTTTTCCATCCCGTTGGCCACTCTGTGAATATCTTTTGATCCTCCTTCAAACCCAACCATGGCACGGTCACCTGTGAAAAACAAATTGAACCTGGTGTTGGTGAGTTCAATCAGCATTCTTGTTTTCCCTGATCCACTAGGTGCTAAGACCACAGTAACCTGCTGACTTGACAACCATCTTGCACATCTTTTTTAAGTCTACTTCCAACACCTTCCCACAAAATGCATGGTCTACCTTCAAGCGAGCACACGAGTGTCCGAGCAAAAGGGAACCTTGCCTTGTAACCTGACTCATCTATTGCTAACTGTGCTATTGCCGGCCGTTTGAGAGAGATATAAGTGTCACACTGACCTGTAATGTCTGTTTCTGTAAACATTAAAATAAGTGAAAAGAAATCCCAAGAAACCAGTTACAATGCCACGGCATAGCCACCAAAAAACAAATGCATTTGTAGGCAGCACAGTAAAGAATAACAAGCATCTTCATGGCCAAGACACATCTTCTGTATACACAAACTCGTCACACAACCAGCTTAAGCCAACACGGACAGAACCCACAGCCATAGCCAATGGCCAGAAGGCAAAACAACAAGTGAGACCACAGAGCGAAGGAAACATCCACGGCCAGTGAGTACAAACAAAACAAAACCCTCAAGCAAGATCAAACTTGTCAACACATAGTTCCCAAATGTAGCACACCACCAGTTACAACGGCCAGGCCATACCCAGATCACTAGATAAAGAGACACACGGCACACAGTCACAACCACAGGCAGCATTAATAGAACGCATGTTTTTCTCACACTCATAATACACGTGGATCAATAGCAGGCATACACCATTGTAAAATCCACCCTTTTATGAATTGCACGCCATGTGTGTGCCATGAAATCAGCGGATGTTTGAAGGCCTTGCTTCGCTGTTGGATTTGGTGCTTGGGTGCTTGTGTCTGGCCTGTGGTTGTAAATAAATTCATGGCGGCTGCTTCCCTTACAGGCATAGAATATGTTATGAATATACAATCCTTATGCCTCACATCGCGTCAAATATTCCTGCTGCTTGATTTCCACCAAGGCCCAAATCTCCTCCTGTGTCCAGTTCTTGGAACGTTGCCTTTTTGCTCCTGGTCGAGCTGCTATATCTTCCACATCCACCTGCAAACTTGCTTGCACGTCCATGTCCACATCCATGACCTCTACTAACTCTGCCTCCACGTCTACTTGTACCAAGAGCTACCCTTCGATCTTCACTTCTCTGCTCGTTATCAAGCGGGGAGCCAAAACTTAGCTGTTCCGACTGCAAATCAACCTTAGGCTAGTTGCCTGTAGCAGGAAATTGAGATCAGGTGCCTTGCTCCACATGTTGATCAGCCCAATGGCCAGGCTGAAAATTGAGCCTACAGCCACAACCAGCTTGATTCTAGCCAGGCTAGCAGCCATAATCAAGATTATGGCTGGGCTGACTAGCCTAGCAGCCAGAATCAGGATTCTGGCCGGACTGACCAGCCCAACGGCCAGAATAAGGATTCTGGCTGGGCTGACCAGCCCAACAGCCAGAATGAAGATTCTAGTGGAGCTGGAAGCTTTAGTCAGTTGGAGGTGTTGTAAAAAGAGTTGTAGAAGGAGTTGCAAAAGGAGTTAGTAAAGAAAGAGCTATTGAAGAAAGGGTTTTTTCTTTATCTTGTTGTTGAACTTATTGAACCTAAATGATGTGCATGAATGCAAAAAGAGAGAATAGAGAATATCTGTTGTTGCTGCTAATTAGAACTTGAAGAAGTGTTGGAGCCCAAAATGCCCTGCTCCTCACACCATGGTCATAGCTGCTCTTGCCCAAAGTTAGGGCGTCAAGTTGAGGCACATAGCTGATGTGGTAGGCAATTGCATGCAGAAGAGAGAGAATATAAATTTAAGGGTCCTGGGGAGGACCCTTAAATTTTACATAGAAATTTTGTTGAACCCTAACTTAGAGTTTTTTTAAGAGTTTAGGTGTGGAAACCCTACTCTTAAAAAAACTCTTAGTTAACTAAGTATTCAATGTGAAAACAATTTCACCCCTAACCCATAAAATTTATGGGTTAGGGACGGCCCCACAATGCAGTGGGCATTTTCTTGTTCCAGATACCATGGGCCACCTTATAAACCAGAATTGTGTATGTTCTTTCCAGGCAAGGAAATTTGTTACTCCATTTCTCTAGAAGATGAAAATGATACCATCCTATCCTATCATCTAAGGCCCTACTCATGCCAAAAATTCTAACCTATACCTCTGATACCATGTGAAGAAAGCCTCTTGGTCTAACACTTTGAAGAAAGCAAAAACTACCTCACAAAACATCAAAGAAACCTAAAAACCCTAAATTAGTGGATCATTCAACCAGTTCTTTATGGCTTTAAATTGATATGATCTTTCTTGTTCTTCGCTTTTGGGATGTTTAGGCCTTGGAGGCCAGCACAAGTCCGGTGCCGGCGATTCCAACCGTGAGAGCAATGCTTCCTCCATACTTCGTTCCAAACTCAGCAACGTTGGCGATCGGCTGCCACGTTCTCCACTTTGGTGGATGTCAGAGGGATGAGCAGAAATAGTTTCGTACAAAACTGTAAAATAGAAGCCGGTTGAGTTTTCTCTTTTTGTCTCTCTTGATTATAAATTAAGTTGTCCTTGACGATTCTAGGGCACCACTGATAGGGTTTCAGCTAGCAAAATGGACGAGGAATTGGCTAAGGTGGAGGCTCAAATCGGGCTTCTTGAGCCGCAGATCCAAGCGGCTGGGGAATCTTTTCTCTCTGCCCTTCAGAGTGGCAATCAATCTCTGGCGGAATATTGGCGGAATGAGAAAGAGCAGCTGCGGAAGAAGGAAGAGCAGCTGTGGAATGAGAAAGTGCAGCTGCGGGAGGAAAAACTCCTTCTCCTCAGAAGTAATGGTAAGTCATCCCCCTCGATTTGGGGCGTTTTGCTGTGTGTTGTGGATATGGCTGCTTTCGGTCATGGTTAAGGATTTTGCCTGAGGTCGCTTTTATTTTGGGTTGCTGGAAGTGTGGCTATGGTTGGCCATGTTTTCTATTGATAGTTTTTTCTTCCAGATCTAATACTAACTTTGTTTTGTTCTGAATGTTGCAGTGCCCCATGGAATCGGTAAGCAATTGCGAAAGCCCTTTGTTCCCTTGCACATGCATCCATGTCAGAATTCCCATTTGTTGTCCAGTTTTTGGCATTTGAAATCGGCGGAGGTTTCAAGGTTTCACTTATTTTATTGTTTACAGAAACAGAAATAACACGCCGGTGTGACACTTATATCTCTTTCAAACGGGAGGCAATAAAACAGTTAGCAGTAGACGAGTCAGGTTACAAAGCAAGGTTCCCTTCTGCTCGGACACTCGTGTACTCACTTGGTGGTAGACCATGCATTTTGTGGGAAGGTGTTGGAAGTGGACTCGTAGAGTTGGACACAAGATTTGCAGGAAGGTTGTCAAGTCAGCAGGTTACTGTGGTCTTAGCACCTAGTGGATCAGGGAAAACAAGAATGCTGATTGAACTCGCTAGCACCAGGTTCAGTTTGTTTTTCACAGGTGACCGTCCCATGGTTGGGTTTGGAGGAGGATCAAAAGATATTCACAGAGTGGCCAACTGGATGGAAAACAGTTTTCCGAGAGGAGAAAGAAATATTACCCCAGAGCATCCAGTGGTGCTGTGTGGCGTGGGGGCCTTAATCCTTGCACGTCTCAGTTTTTTCAAATTATTGAAAGAGTGTAAGCCAGGGCTTGTTCCACGAGACTGGGCGTTTTTTCAGCTGGAGTATCCGGCAGTTGATGACGTGTTTCTGGGACTGCTTGAGGTGTTGCTTGGTTTGGTTCGTGACGTCCATCAAGTGCCCACTTTTGTTATTTACTTCACTAGCAGCATAGAAAAGCTGGTAAAAGAGGTGGGTTGGGGGGATGCCACAGTAGTGCTAGACGAAGCGCAGTCATTATTACAGTGCATGAAGGGGCGCTTCATATCAGGCCGAACTCCTCAGGAAGGGCAGTCGCTGTTGAATCCCATCGTCCTTGCGCTCAAGTCATATGGTGTGCTGCAAAGTCCCCTGTTTGTTTCAGGTACAGGAAAGAGCATGTTGACGGTTCGGGAGGATCTTCTTTCTGGAACTATGAAACCGTTTGATGTGCGAGAGATTTACAGTCTACCTGGGTTTGATGGCAGCAACATCCAAGCGTTTATGGAAAGGTTTATAGATGTTAGTCGACTAGACATGCTAGCTGTTATCTCCACCTACACAGGAAGAAGAAGAATTTTATCAACCGCTATTGAGCAGTATATTATGGAGACTGCACCTACTGCAGATTGGTTCATGGAGTTTGCACGAAGGATGATCACTAAAACAGGCCGGGAACTTGGAGTCTATCGCTCTCTGAGGGATGATGCGGTTTTGCTGTGCAACGATCCTGAGACGGCAAACTTTATAGAAGATCTGATATTTACTTACTATCTCTCAGGTAAGACAGCAAGAATTACATGATATTGTGATATTTACATTTACTTTTTCAGGTGCCGGACATGTGATTGTACCAGGACGGAGGAGGGCCATGACTCTTGTAGACTGTGGTTTCGCAACTCTCCTTGAGAGCAGCGATGGAGCAGAACCTTTTGCCCCAATAGTTCCATATATCAGAGGGGTCACCGATAATGAAGCTCAAGCTCCTGGTTTGCCAGTTACAATAGAGACTCGTCGTTTGTCAGTTACAACAGAGATTCGGTATGTAATCTTGCGAGAGCCTTTGGTGGTAGATGCACTGTGGCACCACATGTCACAGGGTATGCACATGGGATACTTTCTGAACGCATTTAGACAGCGTGTAATCAACTTCGAGACATATGTATGTTGGGAGCTTGGACGTGCCTTTGAGAAGAAGGTACCGGCAGAGGTGCTCGGATTGGTTGAAACACACACCACATACAAGGAGACATATGAGCTTTTAAAACAGAGAGGGGCATCAGAGGGAGCTGTTACAGTGATTGAAAATGCAGAACAGCTGAACGAGTGGCTCAAGTCAGTGGAGACTAGTGTTTCGTTTGCAACATATGGTTGGATAGGGCAATTTTGTGAAGCAGGACCAGATGCGATGTTTTTCCTGTGGAATGGTAAGCTGAACAAGATTATGCCTGTGTTTGTACAAATCAAAACGGGAAGTGACCTTGGAGCAACTCAAGCATTTGCGACGCTGGACATCATGAAGCTGGACAAGAAAGTGAATGCAGAAGGCTCTCACAAACTCAAAGAGTGGTGTTCCACTGGGTACATAAGGTTGGTTATGACAACAAAGGAATGCTCACGAGCAGGAATGCGGGCAAGGCAGAGTGAGCGTTTAAAAGGAAAATGTTCGGAAGAAGAAGCAGGGGTAAGTTTTGAAAGTTGTGTGTTATTTAAACTTTTTTGTGGTCTGTTGTGTAGGTTCCACCTTTGTCAGCTATTTGGGCCAATGAAAGGATACGTGGTATTGTGAACACAGAATTACTAGAAGCTATAGAAAAGTTCAAATAAAAACGGAATAAGTTGCACTCGTTCTTCGTAATTCCTCCATGAAATCGGCGGATGTTTCAAGGTCTTGCTTCGCTGTTGGATTTGGTGCTTGGGTGCTTGTGTCTGGCCTGTGGTTGTAATTAAATTCATGGCCATCTGCTTCCATTGCGTTCTATTAATGCTGTCTTTGTCTTCTGGCTGTGGTCGTGACTGTGTGCCGTGCGTCTCTATACCTGGTGATCTGGCTATGGCCTGGCCGTTGTAACTGGTGGTTTGCCTGATGTGGTGCGCTACATTTGGGAACTACGTGTTGACGAGTTTGATCTTGCTTGAGGGTTTTGTTTTGTTTGTATTGTTTCCTTCGCTCTGTGGTCTCACTTGTTGTTTTGCCTTCTGGCCATTGGCTATGGCTGTAGGTTCTGTCCCTGTTGGCTTAAGCTGGTTGTGTGACGAGTTTGTGTAAACAGAAGATGTGTCTTAGCCATGGAGATGCTTGTTATTCTTTACTGCACTGCTGCAAGCGCATTTGTCTTTTGGTGGCTATGACGTGGCGTTGTAACTGGTTTCTTGGGAATTTTTTTCACTGATTTTATTGTTTACAGAAACAGACATTACACGTCGGTGTGACGCTTATATCTCTCTCAAAACGGCCGGCAATAGCACAGTTAGCAGTAGACGAGTCAGGTTACAAGGCAAGGTTCCCTTCTGCTCGTGTGCACGCTTGATGGTAGACCATGCATTTTGTGGGAAGGTGTTGGAAGTGGACTTGTAGAGTTGGACAAAAGATTTGCAGGAAGGTTGTCAAGTCAGCAGGTTACTGTGATCTTAGCACCTAGTTATAAGGTAAAACACGAATGCTGATTGAACTCGCCAGCACCAGGTTCAGTTTGTTTTTCACAGGTGACTGTGCCATGGTTGGGTTTGGAGGAGGATCAAAAGATATTCACAGAGTGGCCAACTGGATGGAAAACAGTTTTCTAGGAGGAGAAAGAAATATTACCCCAGAGCATCCAGTGGTGCTGTGTGGGGTGGGGGTTGCACGGCTCACTTGGCTTAAATTATTGAAAGAGTGTAAGCCAGGGCTTGTTCCACGAGACTGCGTTTTTTTCAGCTGGAGTACCCAACTGTGGCATCCTCTTTTACCAGCTTTTCTATGCCGCATGAAGTAATTAACGAAAGAGGCACTTGATGGACTTCACGGACCAAACCAAGCAACTCCTCAACCAGTCTCAGAAACACGTCATCAACTGCCGTGCTAGAAGCTCAGTCATTATTACAATGCATGAAGGGCTGCTTCATATCAGGCCGAACTCCTCAGGAAGGACAGTCGTCCTTGTGCTCAAGTCATATGGTGTGCTGTGAAGTCCCCTATTTGGTTCAGGTACAGGAAAGAGCTTGTTGACGGTTTGGGAGAATCTTCTTTCTGGAACTATGAAACCGTTTGATATGGGAGAGATTTACAGTCTACCTGGGTTTGATGGCAGCAACATCCAAGCGTTTATGAAAAGGTTTACAAGATGTTAGTCGACTAGACATGCTAGCTGTTATCTCCACCTACACAGGAAGAGTTTTATCAACTGCTATTGAGAAGTATATTATGGAGACTGCACTTGCTGCAGATTGGTTCATGGAGTTTGCATGAAGGATGATCACTGAAACAGGTGGGAACTTGGAGTCCATCCCTCTCTGAGGGATGATGTGGTTTTGCTGTGGAACAATCCTGAGACGGCAAGCTTTATAGAAGATCTGATATTTACTTACTATCTCTCAGGTATGACAACATGATATTTTGATTTTTACTTTTACTTTTTCAGGTGCTGGATATGTGAGGAGGAGAGGGATAACTTTTGTAGATTGTGGTTTTGGCACCAGATGCTATAGAATACACTTATAGAATGTTTTATGAACACATTTAGACAACTATCCATATGCGAAACTAACTTCATCATGACTCTTTATATGTGTTTCAACCAATCCAAACAGCTCTGTCAATACTCTTGTTTCAAAGACACTTCCAATACTCTTTTCTCAAACACTTATAAGTGTTATATATACATATATCTTGAAGTTAATTCCGTATACAGATGGTTGTCTAAATATGTTCATAAAACGTCCCATAAGTGTACTCTGTGACATATGGTACCACAATACATCTACTACCAAAAGCTTTCTCAAGATTATATAGCAAATTTCTATTGCAACTGATGAACCAAGAGTTTCTATTGTATGTTCATTATTGCAGCTTATTAAGAACAAGTGTAATTTATTCCATTTTTTCTCGAATTTTTCTATAGCTTCTAGTAATTCTGTGTTCATAATACCATGTAGCCTTTCATTGGCCCAAATAGCTAATAAAGGTGGAACCTATAGAACAGACCACAGAAAGTTTAAATAACACATAATTTTCAAAACTTACCCTTACTTTTTCTTTCAAATGTTTTCCTTTTAAATGTTCACTCTACCTTCTCCAAAGGCTAGCTTTCTCACTCGTAGGCATTCCTTATTGTCACAACCAGCTTTATGTACGTAGTGGAACATCAATCTTTGAGTTTGTGAGAGCCTTCTGAATTCACTTTCTTGCCCAGCTTTATGATGTATAGCATTGCAAATGCTTGAGTTGCTTCAAGGTCACTTCCCATTTTGATCTATACAAACACAAGCATAATCTTGTTTAGCTTACCATTCCATAGGAAAAATATCACATCTGGTCCTGTTTCACAAAATGACCTTATTCAACCAATGAAATACCAGTCTTCACTAACACTCATTTAGTTGTTCCACATTCCCAATCTCTTTAACCAGCACCACTGACACCCCTCTCAGTTTTAAAGTTCATATGTCTCCTATTGTAACTAGCAAACCGGGAGCTTGAGCTTCATTATTGGTGACCCCTCTTATATATGGAACTATTGGGGCAAAAGGTTCCACTCCATCACTACTCTCAAGAAGAGTTGCAAAACCACAGTCTACAAGAGTCATGCCTCTCCTCCATCCTGGTACAATCACATGTCTGGCACCTGAAAAAGTTATCACGATATCATGTAATTCTTACTGTCTTACCTGAGAGATAGTAAGTAAATATCAAATCTTCTCTAAAGATTGCTGTCTCAGGATCGTTCCACAGCAAAACCACATCATCCCTCAGAAAGTGATAGACTCCAAGTTCCCAGCCTGTTTCAGTGATCATCCTTCATGCAAACTCCATAAACCAATCTGTAGCAGGTGCAGTCTCCATAATATACTTCTCAATAGCAGTTGATAAAACTCTTCTCCTTTCTGTGTAGGTGGAGATAACAGCTAGCATGTCTAGTCAACTAACATCTATAAACCTTTCCATAAACACATGGATGTTGCTGCCATCAAACCCAGGTAGACTGTAAATCTCTCCCATATCAAACAGTTTCATAGTAGCCACTCATGAAGACTCCAATCCAAGTCCCAGTGGAGCATCACAGTACAAGCGTCACAAATGCAGCTAGATGTCAAAGATAGAGCCTTCCTTTGCTACCTTGCTTGTCGCTGTGTCATGGGCATGCCCAAGGGTCTCCTTTCCAAATGCTCAAAAAGCAAGTTATAGAAATGAAGGCAAGTTGCTACAGCTGTGGGGAAGCTGGACACCATTCCTATGAAAACAACAAAGGCACAACTGAATTAAGTTGAAGCACCAAAATCTGAGGAAATTAAAAAGGAAGATTATAAGCAACGTGGTAAGTGCCCTGCTGCAAACCTGGTGTTTGTAGGAGTGGTCCAAGCACAATCATCATGACATCTTGGGATCTATGAAGGCCACCAGGTGCTGGTATTAATCGACTCAGGTTTCTTGCATAAATCTGTAGGTCAGGTTCTCCATATAGTGAGAGCTTAGATGATTACCCGAACGTCTAGAGGCTTGCTTCCTCTAAGATAAAGGTCAAACAGTTCACCTAGCTGACTCGTTTGTTGTGATGGAGCTCACTCATCTGGATATGATAATTGGCCAAGAATGGCTACATCCATTTATTAGCTAGTGACGCCATCTGAGGAAACTGAAAGTTGCTGGCAAGAAGTATGAAATGCAAGCCAAGCATGATCTACAGATTATGACTGCTACTCAAGCAATAAAGATGGTAAGAAAAGGCTCTGAGTGTTTTGTGCTATAAATGCACTTGATTTCTCAGGACTCAAGTCCACCTCACTAAATTGTGGATCACACCATAGAACAAAGAGCCAGGTGCTAGTCCTGTTTTCTGAGCCCCTTTTATTGAGTGTCTCATGCAGAGTCGAGCTCCACCTTCACCTAGCCAAAGCCCTTTTGGTGCACCAGTTCTCTTTGTTAAGAAAAGGGATGAGTCTTTGTGTAGATTACCGAGCTCTTATATCAAGAATCGATATCCACTGCTGTGCATAGACGACTTGTTGGATTGCTTGCAATTCTTTATATCATCAAATAAGAATCAAAGAAGGCCATGAAAAGATTGTTTTTATTGACAAATGCCCCAGCAACTTTCATGGCAGCTATGCACAATTTTTTTCGAAGCATCTTCAGCAAGGTGTGTGTATTTGGATGATATTTTGATTTATTCTCGTACACATTGGCATGTCAAAACACATGAATTCCATTGTCGAGAAAAGGGAGCGGATCCAATGCAAGAGATTAATCTCTGCAGGTCCACTTACTAATTTGCTGGGAAAGAACACTTCATTTGTTTGGAATCAGGCAGCGTCACACAGCTTTGATGTGTCGAAGCATGTCTTGTCTTAACTTTGTTCCAGTTCTGAATCCATCCAAGTCCTCTGTGATGAGGACACTACTTTGTTTACGCATATGGAAGCATTACCTCATGGGTGGGGATGGACGAATTATCATGCATTTAGCATTTCTTGCAAGTTTCCAGAATAAGACTGTTCACATTCCAGGGAATCTTCACCTATCTCAGAGATACAGTTATAAAATGGAAAGCAAAAGATTCATTTGGTGCTGGATTAGAGCTGGGGGAGATGCTGGACATGCACTTGGTTAACCAGGTCAACAACTGCTGAGGTCCGGTGGTTGCAGTGGCAACGGCTGGTGAAAGAAGAACCACTCTAAGCCCTATGACAATGGCGGCTGGTGAAAGAACCACTCAAAGTCTTACCACAATGGTGGTGGCAACGGTGGCAGTGGCTGAGGTGGGGAGTGATAAAACACCAATTGGAACTCTAATTGAAGTTTTAATTGGAGCAGTAATTGGAACAATTCAACCATAAATTTGAAACATTAGACTAAACTGGAGAAAAGGCCACCATAGCTATCATAAGAGCCCTAATATAAAAGAGTGGCTGGCGCTAGGCCTCAAATTTACACCCTGCAAAGCCTTGCAAAGGTATATTTACTTTGGCATTTCGAAGTTGGTTTCTAATTTACTTTGTTACTTGAAGAACATGTTCAATTTTCACTTTTACCTTGCTACTTGAAGGACATGTTTAATTTTCACTTTGCACTAATGAGGTACAAAAGTATTTTAGTGTTCCCAAAGCAAACTTGTACATTGTAACACAGATAATATTCTATCAAATATTATTAAGAATATTGTAAGAATATCCTGGGTCTAACCACTTGAATTCAATGAAGCTGATGTGGATTAGGTCTAGGGCAAATGGGAAATGTGCTATTGTGCATTCTCATAAACCTACTAGATTCATAGATTGATTGTGGAAATTAATTTGTTCTTGTGTTGATCCTTAGGGATAGATAACCCCAAATAGTTATAGCCAATTAATATTGTTGAGAATTGTTCTACTCTTTCAAAGTTGGTTTTTGAAGAATCAAAGAACCATCTTTATGAAAAAGATTATCCTTTTTAGTACACATGTTGTACTTCATCCTCTACTTGCCACCATAGGATAAACTTAAGGAAAATTGAATTTCCTCTCAATTTTGAATATTTTATTTTTCTTCTTCTTTTTATTGGTTGAAGTATCAATTTTTTCTTCTATTGTTAAAGATCTTCATCCTTTAATCTGATCTCAAGTCCTTCACTAAATAAGGAATCATGAAGCTCTTGCCTTGCTATATACTGTTGATTTATCTTTCTTTTCTCCCTCCTATTAGCCTATATACCATTCACTATAGAGAATGAGACTTATATAAATGCTATGAATGGGAAAAAGTTTATAAAATGCATAAAAATATGTTATGGAAAGGTTTTTGCCATGATATTCAAGTCAGTCTTTACTTTTCTATTATGGTGGATGATAATGCTAATAGAAGTTTAGAAGTTCATTTTATCATATACATCTTTTTCCATATGCAAGAAGAAGAAAAAGTCTAAATAAAACTTGCTTTCTAAAATTGATGTTAGATGAAGATTCTATAAGTAAATATAAAACCATCAAAAAGGTTTTAAAAGAGATGACCTTGAAGAGGGAAAATATATTGCTATTGAAACTAATAGAGCTTTTGTTATATTTGAAGAACAATCTGAAATAGGATATTCCACACTTTCTTTGAGTGCATTGCTTAGCTCATAGATAAAACTTAGGAAATGCATGCATTTCCTATTGGAAGATGTAATGATACATTAGTTATCTCATAAGGAAGTCTTAGAGAGAATGATCATCATAATGTCAACTTTTCTTACAGAATTTTAATTTTCTTTTATGAAGATATACTAGCTTTTGACAAATTATATATTGCAATTTGCTATTCATATGCTAGCTAATATACTTCTTGAATTGAATAGTTTTAATAAAATCTTTCAAGATAAATTATGTTGCTAGGTATTTAGATGATACTTGAAAAGTATTAAAAGAAACTTCTAAAAGAGACTCTTGGTGTGAAATACTTTAGTAATTTTGTAAAGGTTATTAAAGATAGATTTATTAAGTTTGTAGATGTTAGAGGGGAACAACATGAATATATATTAAATTATACTCTTATTCCAAATAGCAAAAGAGATGGTAGGTTGAGCTTTTGCTTAGATTTAAGTAATGAGTGTGTTCAAAAACTATATGTTAATATACTAACCAAAATGGGAAAAGATATAACTATGTTCAATGCTACAAAATTATTTAATCCAAAAAATTAAGGAAGAATTGAATAACAACTATTACAAATGGCCAAATATATTATTAAACCAATATAGTGCTTTTGTAGATGGGGAAAAATGTAAAGGAAAACTCACAAAATTTATAATTGTTATGTTAAGTAATCTATTAACAAAACATGGGCTCATGGCTTGGCAAATATGCAAAAATGATATTTGCATAATCCTTCTATATTTAAAAGAGCAAGGGTGACATGTTCAATTAAGATTTTTTTTGAGTTTAATGGTGGAGATAAAGACACGTGAAAAACAGTTAAGAATGGAACATTTTTATTTTTTAGGGTAAATCAATTTTTTCAAAGAATGTTTCCAGAAGCTCATAGCAAAAATGATATTTGTATAATAGATATGTACTCTAATTTGATGGAATTATGGAAAATTATCTCTTTGTTACTTATGAATATTGTTTGTGTTGAACATGGATTTTCTTATCAAAATCAATTTAAAACTATTTCAAGATTTTTAAAAATTGAAACTTTAAATGATTTTATGCTCATTTATTTATGTGGTGATGGATGACTACAACAAGATCAACTAAGGGTATATTTATAATGCCTAGCATTGTGATTGAATTAATTGTATTAAAAGAAATTTTTATATAAATATCTATATATTAGGAAGTTAATTTTTATTTTGCACAATGAAGGACAATTGTAATATTCACCCTTCCAATCAAGAAAGGTAAAATGAAATTGCCCTGCAAAATGCAAAAAATAACTACTTTATAAATTTGAAGCCTAACCAACACTTACAGAATTAAATTTTAAAAGTTAAAAATGATATTTTATTTTACCAATTATTATTTAGAATAAACTGAAATATTCTGTGAGATTTTAGGGTTCATGCTCGCGCGCAGAGAGAAGGCGCCGTGGGGATTCGTGAAGTACATTCATCTTCTCCGGCATCCAGTCGAGGATTTCCGGGATTTGCAGGCCGTGCTGGATGATCTCGATCGCAATGCCGCGCGCGCGAGCTCCTTGCCGCAGCAAGATTGGGCGCGCATTCTCCAGGCCTGTGGACGGCTCAAGGGGCTTGCACTAGGGAAGCGCTTCCACACACACTTGGCGGGCTTGGATCAGCTGGACAGGGATCCGAGCGTGGGAATCCCGCTCCTCAGCATGTATTGCAAGTGCGAGAGCGTCGAGATCGCAAAAACAGTGTTTGATCGTCTCCGCGAGAGGGGAGCTGTGGCGTGGACGATGCTCATCGGCGGATATGCCCAAGCCGGGCATCAGGGAGTCGCGCTTCGTTTGTTCAAGGCGATGATGCTGGAAGGGGTGAGGCCGAGCGAGGTGACCATCATCAATGCGCTCACGGCGTGCTCCAGCCCCCGGGAGCTGCGAGATGGAGCTTTGATCCATCTGTGTGCTGCCGAGAGCCAGGTGGATTGCGAGATAGCAGTCGGGAACACGCTGGTGAGCATGTATGGCAAGTGCGGAAGCTTGCTCGATGCCAAGGCGGTGTTCTACAGCATGCCTTTGAGAGACCTCGTCTCCTGGAGCATCGCAATCTCGGCCTGCTCCAGGTACCAGGGCTGCGAGGCCGACGTTCTGGATCTCTTCCAGCGGATGCTGCTCGAGGGGCTATCGCCAAAGCATCTCACTCTCGGGATTGTTCTCAACGCTTGCGCTCGGATCGAAGCTCTGGAGCGAGGTATGTCGATCCACCAGAGCTTGGTGCAAAGTGGGATGACCACCCTGAACTACGCTGTTGGGATTGCTCTCATCAACTTGTATGGCAGGTGTGGGAGACTCGAGGGCGCTTGCGATGCGTTCCAGGCGATCGAGGAGCGCACAGTTGTGTCGTGGAACTCGATGATGACGGTTCTAATCCAGCACGGGAGCTGCAAGAGAGCTGTGAGCTTGTTCCACGAGATGCTCCAGCATGGCTTTAAGCCGACTAAGGTAACTTTCATGACGATCCTGAGCTCTTGCACGAAGAGGTCGCAGCTTACTGACGCTCGCTTTCTTCATTTTGCCGCAGCTCAATGCGGTTTCGAGAGGGATGTCTCCGTCGCGAACGCGCTCATAAGCATGTACGATGCTTGCGGGAACTTGGAGGTCTCGGAAAGGATTTTTTCGGGAATGGAGGTGAGGGATACCATCTCTTGGAACGGGATGATATCGGCTTACATCCAGCACGAGCAGACGAGCATGGCCAAGACACTGTTTAGGCTAATGCTCTGCGAGGGCGGAGAACCAGACCGGGCGACTTTGGCTCACGCGCTCAACGCTGCTGCCAGCCTCAAGGAAGTGGAGCTCGTTCACGGTTTTATCGCGGAGAGAGGGGATGAGTTTCATGAAATCCTGGGAAGCGCGCTGGTGGCCATGCACGGGAAGTTTGGGACTATAGAGGAAGCTCGCAGAATTTTCGGCAACGTGAGGCACAGGGATATCATCTGCTGGAACGGGATGATCGGAGCTTGTGCTCACACAGGACATCCCAAACAAGCCTGGGAGCTCTACCAGGAAATGGAAGAGGCCTCGGGATTAAGTCCAAACAACATAACTTACGTAGCGGTGCTGGATGCCTGCACGGAGATGGGAGCTCTCGACAAAGGCAGACAGGTTCACGCGTCCATTCCCGAGAAGCAGCTGCGTTCCTCCATCGAAGTCGGGATCGCCCTCGTCAATCTCTATGGCAAGTGCGGGAAAGTGATTGAAGCTCAGCGAGCCTTCGACGGCATGGAAGTCCGAGACGTGATACTCTGGAGCTCGCTCATCGCAGCCTACGCTCAGCTCGGTCACGTAGACGAGACGCTGGTGCTCGTGAGGAGCATGCAACACGAAGGCTTGGAGCCAAACCGAGTGACTTACGTGAGCGTCATCTCGGCTTGCAGCCACGCTGGGCTCATGGAGGAAGCTTACAGCTATTTCCTGGCGATGATCCAGGATCACAACATCGCTCCCACTTGCGAGCACTACCGCTGCATCGTGGATCTCTTGGCTCGAGCCGGGCAGCTCGACGAGGCCGAGAAGCTCCTCACCAAGATCGAGAACATTGGACCGCTGGCCTGGATGACAATGCTCGCGGCTTGCAAGAGCCAGGGCGATCTCGGACGAGCTCGAAGAGCTGCCAAGCTTGCGATCAAGTTTAATCCAGGCTCCTCCGCGGGATACATAGCTCTCTTCAACACCTATCTTGGAGAGACGACGGAGAGCTCGAGTTAAAAGAAGATTGGCGCCAACGCGGTGTGGATCGAACTCGGCACCACGTCTTCATGTAGAAAGAATATGCCCGTTAGAGCTGTCAAACGGGCGTCACATTTAAATAGGCGGTCTAAAAGACCGAAGGCTAAGTGTAAAGTCGTCTAGTAAAGTCCGTGTCCTCCATTTTTTGCTGGTGCGCTAGGGTTTTCGCGGAAGGTAGAGGGTCAAGGCGCGGGCGAGAACAAGATCGCATTTCCTCGCGCTCGTCGATCGATCTGATCCCAGCTCGTTCCAGCGGAGATCATGACGACCATGGAGAGCCTCATCGGGCTCGTGAATCGGATCCAGCAGGCGTGCACTGTGCTGGGGGATTATGGCGGCGATAGCTCGCTCCCGACGCTCTGGGAGTCCTTGCCGTCGGTTGTCGTTGTCGGTGGCCAGGTATGTGATTGATCTTGTGCTCCGGGGCTGATCGAGGTGAGAAATTTCTGGTGCAGAGTTCTGGGAAATCGTCGGTGCTGGAGAGCATTGTGGGGCGTGATTTCTTGCCCAGGGGATCGGGAATCGTGACCAGGAGGCCCTTGGTGCTGCAGCTCCACAAGACGGAGGGAGGAGCCGAGTATGCCGAGTTTTTGCACATTCCAAAGAAGCGATTCACGGATTTTTGTGAGTTTTGAGCGTGTGAGTTTTTCATTTATTTTGCGAGGTTCTAACAACGCGTTTTGGAACTCGACTTGGTCAGCTCTGGTGAGGAAAGAGATCCAGGATGAGACGGATCGAGTGACTGGCCGTAGCAAGCAGATTTCTCCCATTCCAATCCAGCTGAGCATCTATTCGCCAAATGGTAACTAGACTTGAGCTTCAAGTAGAGTACAAATCACTCACGCTCTCCTTGTCCAGTTGTGAACTTAACGCTGATTGATTTACCGGGATTGACAAAAATTGCTATAGGTAAGATGAAAGCTTTTTATTAAGTTTAAACTCACTCCAATACTGCTTTTTGTGCAGAGGGTCAGCCAGACAGTATTGTTGCTGACATAGAAAACATGGTGCGGTCTTATGTCGAGAAGGTATGCGTTTTCGTATGTAGGTTCAAGTTAGAAACATAACGGTCTCTTTCTTTTCCTGTCAGCAAAATTCTGTCATTCTCGCTATCTCTCCAGCGAACCAAGACATTGCAACATCTGATGCTATGAAGCTAGCAAGAGAAGTGGATCCTACAGGTAAACTCTAAGGTCTTGAGCTGTTCTTTATAATTATTTTCATGTCCTTGTAAAGGTGAACGGACATTTGGTGTGTTAACAAAACTGGATCTGATGGACAAAGGAACAAATGCTCTTGACGTGCGTAGAGTTTTGTGTCTAACTGGAGACTAATCTTTCGCTTTACTCTTCAGGTTCTTGAGGGGCGGTCATACAAACTACAACATCCATGGGTTGGAGTTGTTAATCGCTCACAGGCCGATATCAACCGTAGCGTGGATATGGTAGCTGCCAGGCGTCGTGAAAGAGAGTATTTTTCCTCCAGCGCCGATTACGGTCATCTGACGAGTCGCATGGGTTCGGAATACCTTGCAAAGATACTTTCAAAGGTAAAGCCAAAGTTGAACTGTTTGGTATGGACTCCTGATGACTAAATGAGGACCATATGCAGCATTTGGAAGCTTTTATAAAGGCGCGTATCCCAAGCATTCTTTCGTTGATAAACAAAACAATCGATGAGCTAGAAATGGAGTTGAACCAGTTGGGGAAACCCGTCGCTGTTGATTCCGGGGTAACACGAATTGTCTGTCTTATGTATTAGTATTTGCCTGACGTTTGCACTTTCCAGGCGCAGCTATACTCGATATTGGAGCTTTGCAGGGCCTTTGATCAAGTCTTCAAGTCCCATCTCGATGGAGGGTTGGTTTCTCAAATTTCGACCATCTTCTAGTAGCACTCACTATTCCTTTTCAGACGACCTGGCGGTGAACGCATATACACTGTTTTTGATAATCAGCTCCCTGCTGCACTTAAAAAGCTTCCTTTCGATCGGCATTTGTCCATACAAAACGTACGAAAGGTTGTGATGGAAGCTGATGGTTATCAGCCACACTTGATAGCACCTGAGCAAGGTTATAGACGGCTTATTGATGGCGCTTTAGTATTGTTTAGAGGTCCTGCCGAAGCGGTTGTTGACGCGGTAAGCCACTGCTAAAACTGCAATACATTTTGCTTTGCCCAGTACTGAATTTCTTTTCATCTGCAGGTCCATTTTGTTTTAAAGGATTTGGTGCGCAAGGCTATTGGAGAGACGATGGTAATATTTTTGTGTTTTACATTTTAATGCTTATCTCACAGTCGCGTTTCAGGAGTTGAAACGCTTTCCAACTTTACAAGCCGAAGTTGCCGCTGCAGCCATTGAAGCACTTGAGAGATGCAGGGAGGAAAGTCGAAAGTTTTGTTTGCGCCTGGTCGACATGGAATCAAGCTACTTGACGGTGGAGTTCTTCAGAAAGCTTCCGCAAGAGTTCGATAGGGGTGGCAACCCGTCTGCAACTACCATGGATAGGTACACAGACTCTCACTTGAGAAGAATCGGTAAGTGCCCCGTCTGGATTCGTGTTGTTACTCATTTGCTCACTTTCTTGTTGTGGACAGGGTCGAACGTCACAAACTACGTCTGGATGGTCTGTGAGACGATCAGGATCTCAATCCCAAAAGCTGTCGTGCACAACCAGGTCCGGGAAGCTAAGCGGTCGCTGCTAGACAACTTTTACACCCAGGTCGGCAAGAAAGAGGTACGGTTGTCTTTTAGCATGGAGCAGCTAACTTATTTACACTTCTGTACGAGCAGGGCAAGCAGCTAGCTCAGTTGCTCGATGAGGATCCAGCGTTGATGGAGCGCCGAACGGCCTGTGCTAAGAGGCTCGACCTGTATAGAGCAGCTCGGGATGAGATCGACTCGGTGGCGTGGGGTAAGTGAGAGTTAAGTGAGTGTGAACTGGGGATGTACATTACTAGTCCATAGGAGATTCATTTTGAGAGCGAAGGGGGAGAGTCTGGTGTCTTCTTTCTCTCTTGTCATACGTAGGATGATGAATATATACTATTAGCGAGCGTTTTTCTAGTTTTGCTGTTTTAAGTCTAGGAGAGTTTTTGCTGTTGTTTAGTGTGGGTGTTGGGTGATGCTTGTGGCCTTGGAATTTCCAGCGTTTCTCTTGTACTTGTTGGTAGCTATGTAGTCGAATTCGAGGAGTACCTTGTCGCAGTGTGTGCGCGTTTGCTCGAGTGCCAAACAGCGTACCTGCTGATGATGAGGACGTGAATGGTGTTTTGCGCCTGCGTATTTTGCTTATCCGAATGCTTTTCACGGCTTCCTGATTCAAACAATCAAAAGAAAAAAGAACGCTCAAGAACGAAAAAAATGAGGTGATTTGCTTGCCACAAAAAAGAAAACGAAGAAAAGGTTTGGACTGTGAGATTCGTGCCTGTGGGTTCCATTTGTGTACTGATGTGGTCATTGTTTGTGTAGCAAGGAAGAAAGATGAGGGGTAGAAAGATCACAGCACAGGAAGTATAATTAAGCAACCTCGAAGGCCTCAACATTCTTCGTCCGGCGAGCGACTTTAGCCAGGACATGAACCATCATTGGCTTTTCAGCTCCAGGAGATTAGTGAGGTGTGGAGATTGATAGATTGATTAGTAGGAAGGAGGAGGTGCCAGGTGAAGAAATGGGGGGCTAGAGACAAGAGCGGCGGCATGGGCATGCACAGGGATTCTAAGCAGGCTCTTGGGCGATTTGGATAGCGGCCTCTGGGAGTTGGGTTGTGCTCCATTTTCTCAATTCGATGGCGGTCAGATTGCTCCCGGAAGGATTACCTGCGCTGCTCAAAGTTTGGATTTGTATCGTCAGAGCAGGAGACTTTGTGTAGGATGGGAGAGTCGTCGGCATTCCGGAGCTGGAGCTGGGAAGTGCCAGCGTTTGAGCCCAGGAGTTCTTCCGCGGCGAATAGCACCTTGTGGAGTGACGAGGATGGAGACGATTTGCATGCCTTGACGGTGAAGGGTGGTCGGAGGCTCTCGCTGCCGGCTCATCTCAACAGCACTGACGAGAGGCAACAGCAGCAGCAGCAGCAGCAACAGCTTTCCAGCAAGCTCTTGAAACTGAGGGAAGAGCTCCTGGTATGCCCTTCCCCTCTTTTTCCTTCTGTTTGTCAAGTCGGTCTTCTGAGTGGTCGATTCGTGTTTCGTCAGAGGGCTCGGAGCGAGTTTCTAGAGATCAGACAAGAAGCTAATGATCTACAGGAGTACTCCAGTGTAAAGCTCGATCGAGTAACTCGCTATCTTGGTGTTCTCGCGGACAAAACGCGCAAGCTCGGTAACGAAGTTCTTGTTTTGTCTCTCACTTGGAGTTTAATTTGTGGTTAACTTGTAGATCGGACGACAGCGGAGTATGAACTTAGGCTCGCCATTTTGAGAAAAGAAAAGTGTTTACATTTCAACGAACTAGTGTCTAGCAAAGGTACGGCCAAAGCGAGAAAGCAACAGGGTGACCACAATTTATTTTTTGTGGCTGCAGGAAGTACTAGAGTTTTTGTTCGTGCTCGTCCAAAGCTTAGTGATGAAACGAGTACGGCACTTTCGTTTCCTGACGAGTGCACCGTTATCATCAACCGAGCGGGTGAAAAGTCCTCCCGGCTCCAGCCTGTGGAGTTTCGTTTTGATCGAGTATACGAACCTCGTACTTCACAAGGTCTAATACGCTTTTTCTTTTTGCCTTCTCTTGAATTGGCTTTTCCCTTCCCATGTTTTCCAGGAGAGTTCTTCCAAGATATCCAGCCTTTGGTACAGTCGGCGCTAGATGGCTATAATGTTTCAATATTTGCGTGTGGTTCTATTGGCTCTGGCAAAACTTACACACTGGTAATGGAGCGTTGTAAACTTGCTCTGTGTTAGTTACCTTTGCATTCCCGCAGGAGGGGCCGAGCCATGACAGAGGCATGTACTTCCGAGCCTTCGAGGAGCTTTTCGATCTGTCGAATGGAGAAGCTACCCCTTCGTCCAAGTTCACGTTCTATGTGACCATGTTTGAGCTCTGTAACGACCAGGTGACAATTTCTTTTTAATTTTCAGGTACTTAATTCTGAGAAATTTCAGGTTCAAGACTTGCTTGCAAACGTAGCAACTGTTGCGGAAGGTCCTGTTAATAAGATTCAGATGGAATCTTCTGTAGAGCTAGTGCAGCTTGAAGCCGAGAATCCTTCAAGCTTTGCTAGAATCTTCAAGACCGGGCTACAAAACCAGCAAATAAACGACTTCAAGGCAAAGAACATGAGCTCTCCATGCCTGTGTGTGTCTCCTCTATTCTGTCTCGTGTTTCTTCTAACATTTAGTCTTCTGTCTTTTAAGGACTGTCACCATTCACGTAGGATACTCGAACAGTTCCACTGGTGAAAAGCAGTATAGCAAGCTGTCCCTTGTTGATGTACCTGGAACCGAGCAGCAAATGACTACTGAAGGAGTTAGCCCGTGCTTTTCATCGTGAGTATCCTCCCACAGTTTGTTGATCTGTGAGTTTGTTCTAATCATTCGTTCACTCAGACTAGTTGAAGTCATATCTGCTCTCGTCTCTAAAAGGGACCATGTACCATATGCAAATTCGAAGCTAGCGAGAATTTTATCGGACTCCCTAGGTAGGTACTTCTTGTCAAGTTGATAAGTCGTGAATAGCTTGCATTTGTATGTAGGTGGGGACTCAAAGACGCTATTGATACTGAACATCAGTCCAAGCGATGTGAGTCTTGATGTGACGAAGGCATGGCTCAAGATCGCAAAATTCTGCAATGATTCGTCCCGAACTTTACAAAACAGGGTATGCCGTTTGTATGCAGCATAAATACTCATCTACCATGATGTGTGAACAGATTTACGAAGAGCAAAACAAAGAGCTCAGGATCGAAGTAGAAATGCTGAAAAAGTCATTGAAAGCGTCTGAAGATCAATGTGCACTTTTATTCAAAGAGATGCAAAAGTCTTGGAAGGTAGCTCTATTCTTCTTTTTTTTCATTGTTTCCTTCGCTAAAGAACTATTTCTGGTTAGTCTCCAAGTACTGCTGGAGGTGACGATTCAATAGAGCGGAAGTTTGAGAAGGATCAAATAGTTCAGCTGAAAACTCAAGTAGCACAATTTGCGAAGTATGACCGCGACCAAAAAGCCGAGCTTGCAAGTAGAGCATCGAAAATCTTGGTTCTTGAAGTAAGTTGAGATCTCCTTCAGACTGTTTGTTTGAGCTTGTTTTCTTTTGTCCGTGAACAGGACAAACTGCAAGAACTTACTCTGCAGTTATCAGAGATGAGAGCTAGAGAATCTCAAAAGATAGAAAAGGTCATTCGAACGACATCGGATTTAAACGGCACGTCGCCTGCGGCGAGGGAAGAAGAACTCGCGAAGCGAGACGATCTGATTGAGGTAGTCGTCTTGAATGTTCTTTTCTTTGTCAAGCTTGTTTCATTTATTTTCAGCGTTTGCACGAGGAAAACGAGAAGCTCTTTCAGCGGCTCACTGACAGAGGTATCTTTTCTCCAAAGGTACGCATAAATTTCATGTTTTCCTAGTTTTGATCTTCTTTTTTTCCCCTCAAGAATCGTCAACCGGATCCTCCAGCAATTGACAATCTCACCTTAGGTGACTCAATCAAGTACGTATGGAATCCAAAAATGCTTGCATGTGTCTTTAAGCACTCTTTTCTCAGGGATTCTGCCAAACGTTCACCTTACAACCAAGTCCCAAGCACTAACTTGAACAATAACACTAACACAAACAAGAGCACTCCAGAAATGACAAATGCTTTGCAAAAGACAAATTTTAAGTCCACTCCAGCCGGGGAATATTTAACTTCTGCTTTGTCGGACTTCGATCCTGATCACTACCAGGGCTTAGCTGCTATATCGGATGCCGCAAATAAACTGCTTATGCTGGTACGTTGTCCTTCTTCCTGAATACTTATATTCTTTATGTCCCGGTTTCGATCTTTCCAGGTTCTAGCGGCTGTGATCAAAGCCGGTGCCACAAGGGAACATGAGATGCTGGAAGAGATTCGGGGAGCTGTATTCGCATTCATCCGCAAGCTAGAGCCGAGAAAGGTCATGGATACAATGCTGGTTTCCCGGGTCCGAATATTGTACGTGCGTTCTCTTCTAGCGAGAGCACCGGAGCTGCAAGAGATTAAGGTACGTAACAAAAAGAAACGAGCTAACTCAAAAACATTTCTTTTTAGGTGCCTTCCGTGGACAGATTCTTTGAAAAGGTCGGATCAAAGAGCAGTAGAACATCCAGCAATGGGAGCAGTCCGAGTCGTTCTCCAGTTTCCAGCCATCTGCATTCCAGCTCAAGGAAAGACTTGATAGATGGTGAGAGCATACCATCCTTCAAGATTAACCTGAAACGGGAGAAAGCATCCAAACTATCCTCAATCGTGCTCAAGCTCAGAGGCATCAACCAGGTAAGCTCATGAAAGACCACAAGTGAATCTTCTCATTGGTAGTTATATTACTCAGGAAACTTGGAAGCAACATCTAACGGGAGCAAAGCTTCGCGAGATGAACGAAGAAGCGCGGAACTACGCAATCGGGAACAAGAAACTGGCAGCCTTGTTCGTTCACACGCCTGCTGGAGAGCTTCAGAGGGAAATACGTGGGTGGCTTGCAGAAAACTTTGAGTTTCTGTCATTAACGGGAGCAGACAATGCGAGCGGTGCCCTTGGCCAACTGGAGCTCCTTTCCACAGCTATCATGGACGGTTGGATGGCCGGACTTGGTATTCCTACACGTCCTACAACCGATGCTCTGGGCCAGTTGTTCTCCGAGTACACCAAGCATGTATACATGTCTCAGCTACAACACTTGAAGGTAAAGTTGGAGATATGTTTTCGTCGATGAAGAAGTGTGTATTTCTTTTTACTTGATCAGGATGTGGCAGCCACTCTGGCTACAGAAGAGGCAGAGGATCTTGCACAAGTGACCAAAGTCCGGTCGGCTCTTGAATCCATTGATCACAGGCGAAGAAAGGTAGAGTGGAGATATCATCTTATTATTCTGTAGTTTACTGTTGTCTTGTGCCCGACACAGATATTGCAACAAATGAGGAACGATCCCGCTCTCCTGACTAAAGAAGAAGGTGGATCTCCATTGCGTTGCCCTTCCTCCGCTAGCGAGGAAGCCCGTATTGCATCGCTTATCTCGCTCGAAGACATCTGTAATCAAGCCGAGGTATGTTTTGTTTGTTTTTCCTCATGGCCAACCTTTTGTTTGCCTATCAGGAGATACGTAAAGAAGCACCACTGAAAGCCACATTTACGTCCAAGAAGAAGTTCATGTTGTCAAGGCTCGACTCGCTAGTCAGCCAGACGTCTGCACTGTTGTCGATTGACCACGCCTGTGCTCACAAGTTCATCAAAGCCGCCCGCCGGGCAACCGAGGTATATCATTAGTACTTGTGTCACGTTTCCAATTCGTGAGCTGAGCACTTGTGCGTTCTAAAGGCAGCGGCGGCGGCAAGTGACGGAGCAACACGCAGGAGGACGGCTTCTTCCGACGACGGCAAGAGCGGCGAGCTGTCATCCTCATCAGGCGACTGGGGAAACGACGCCAGCATGAATCCCGCCAGCGAAGTCGTGCAATGGAGCGTCCTCCAGTTCAACAACGGGACAGACACACCATTCATCATCAAGTGTGGAGCAACGTCGCTGATGCAGCTGGTGATCAAGGCCCAGGCAAGCAACAAGAGCAGCGAGAGCAGCGAGGCGGCGGGGCGGGAGGTGGTGGCCATCGTGCCGAGCCCGTCCATCCTGTCGGGGCTGTCGCTGGAGGAGATAAAGCAGGCACTGCAGCCTCTACCGGAGGCGTTTAGGCAGCTTGCCATGGCGAGGACCGCCGACGGGACCCGGGCAAGGTACTCGAGGCTGTACAAAACGCTGGCGGTGCGCGTGCCGGCATTGAGAAGCAGTGCCGAGCACTTTGACGCCGACTTTGCGGGTGGCGGTGGCATCAAGACGACGCCGCAGCACAGCAGGAGCTCGCAACAGCAGAGGCAGCAGAGGCAGCTCATCCACGCCAGAAGAGCATCCGAGTCGGACAATTTCCTCAGCGACTACTGAAAAAGGGAAGCTAGTTTTGTCCCGGCTCCTAAAGGTTTAGCCTGCTTTCCTTGCGACAGGAGATTTAAGAGCGTTCACACCAGCGCGTGCATAAGAAGCCACCGGAGCAGTGGACACACCAGCTTCCAGCAGCGTGGTTTTGAGCCTCCGGATTCAAAGACAGTAAGCGGCAGAAGGCGTCCAAGAGCAGACTCTAGATGAACACCGAGTAGAGCCGGACACCAAACCACAAAGGACGTTTCTGTGACTCTCGCTGAAGTTTTTGGATGAGACATTGCACCTGTTGCAGATCTTTGGAGAGGCCATTATACTCCACCTGAGTCTCAAAGCCTTAGCTGCATTCTCCTTTATGCTTGTACCAAACATATCAAAAGTTCAAATGATAAGCAAGAAACTCCCCAGAATTTTTGTCGTTCCAAGAACATTGTCTTGTCCTTCTCAAGACCTCGCAGAAGTTATCGATCAAGGCGCAGCATTTTTGTAAACGGGCGCGGAGCAGCTCCATTAGTCCTACAGTGACCAGGCCCAGGCGACTGTTTACCAAAAACACATAACTACGACCATTGCCCCTCAGTCGGTTAGGGTTTAGGGTATTATTAACAACCCTAAACACACACGTCGGCACATGACGTGGCCAGAGCCACGTCGGCGCGCGCCCTATCCCACATGCAAAGGCGAGGGATCGCGCCAGAGCTTGAGTATATAAAGAGAGGGCTGGGCGTGGGAAGTTCATACCTTTCTCGGCCTTTTGGCTAAGATCAAGTGTAGTATCTGTTCTTATCAGTTTAATAGCTGATATGGGGCCACGTGCCCCAACGCTATTAACTAATTTTTTGTGGGAGGAGGGCCATCGGTAGCTTGCTACCCGGCTCTCCACGTGTCGCTTTGGCCTTACACTACCGCCTTAGCCTGGCACAACCCAACCCCCCCAAATTCCAAATTTAAGCAGCAGTAGTCACGTTCTTAGAAGCTTAAATAGTTTCCTCTTTCGTTAAAAATAGCGAACTTTTCTTAAAGAGATTTTCCTATCCTATTGACTGTAGAGCCAATCGTAGAATTCCTGAGACTGTAGTTGCCGCTGTGAGGCTGCAGATATCTCCTTTGCACGAGGAATTCTTCGTGCCTGATACGCCTCTAGAGCGCTCCTAGAAGAAGATATAAAAGGAGTCATAATGACAGAAGAGTTCTTGCCAACTTAACTGTAGATTGGAGCAACTTGAGACTTGCATTGCGAGCTCAAGTCCGTCCTCAAATGCCATGTTTGCTCCCTGGCCAAGTGCCGGTGTCACAGCGTGAACAGCATCTGTTTCAATTAAAAGAAGGTAACATGAATCCAGACTTCTTTTCTTCCAAAAGAAAACATACCCCCGAGCAGGACGGTGGAACCTTTAGACCATTTTTCAAGCACCGGCAGGTCCACAACTCTGCGTTCCAGAATGAGACCTGGTTCTGTAGCCTGAATAACACAGGGAAGAAGAAAGTTTTAGTAACATATTTCAGAAAGTTGGAAGTGTCCCACCTCAACAATCTGAGTGGCGAGGCTCCATCCTTTATAATACTCCAGGAGTCTTTCTTTCATCTCCAGCGCGTTTGTAGATCTCCTTGCAGTGTCACCGTTTGTAGCTTCATCTGTTACACTCAAGGCCCAGTAGAGCTTTCCATGAACTCCGTTCACGATAAACACCGTGCGTCCATTAGCAGCCGAGGTTGTAGCTCCAGTACTGTTGAGCACCTTTAGATTACACGTCCAAAAAAAAGAAAAAATTATAATTCTCGAAGAAAGATGATGGATACCTTGTTCTGGCAAAGACTAGAGTCGATTACAGCTCGCCACATTGTTCGTCCGTTATCACGGGGAGCTATGGGACCAAACAGCGAAGAACGCACAGTGGATCGAATTCCATCTGCGCCAATGATCAGCGGAGCCTGAAGAGAAAAACAACTTCAGTGCTGCCTTGAAGATGCTTTTAGACCTTCACGCTGTAGTGCTCCTCTCCCTTGGTAAAATGCGCAACTGAGCCATCTTCTTCCTGTAAGACCATGCTGATCAAGAAAGCTATCAGGAAGATTCAGACTCTACCTGGCTGACACCAACGCACTGATAGCCTGTGTGCTTGCAAGCGTCCGGAAGTTCTTCCGAGAGTATTCTCAAAGCATGCTTCCACATGATTGCTATCATTGGATGACCATACTTTTGCTCCATTTGAGAGCTCAATGACCATTCTCCGAGCTGAAAACTAGCGTCCGGAGGAACAATGCTCGATTTAGAGTCTGTGATACCTTCACGTCTCATCTGTTTGTTCATGCTTGATAAAAGAAAGAAAAAAAGAATGAAAGCGAGGACAATGTCTGACCTTTGTTACCAGCTCGGGACTTCCTTCGAGGAGTGCCCGGCATCCATTGGGAAACAATGAAATAAGTGTGCCTTCTCCTCCAGATATGATAGGATTTTTCTCATAAACCTGTGAAAGATTTGAGGAAAAAAAGTTTTAAAAGCGAGGAGCAAACCTGGGCATCGATTCCGCGCTTCCTTAGCTGAATAGCTGCTGCTAGACCTCCCAGTCCACCACCGACAATCACCGCATTCTTCACTTTGGCATCCTCAAATTCCATATCTAGCAGCTTAAAAGATGGTGCAGAAACACGGGCTACGAGTGGGAACTGGAGCAAGGGCATGGCTGCACATAGCAAGAGAAAGATAAAAAGATTATCCTGCAATGAGATGAAACAAACGTAATGGAAATTATGCTAAAGCTAAGATGAATGCTTCTTACTATAGTCTAGCAATGAAGGAGCCCCCCTCTCGAGACAAGAAACCTCTCGTTTTCCAACGAAATGTGAGCTATATATGCATGCCCAAGCAGAGAAAAGTACTTGGAACTTACTTCCTTTGATCTAGCTCCTGCTGCTTTACTTTCCTTTTCTCTCTGATCTGATCGATAGCAATGGTGGCTGGATCAGTTGCAACGGAGCTGCAGATCAAGGTCCCCCTAGAGAGAGTCTGGAAAGCAATCAAGGACAGTAACAACATGTTTCCAAAGGCCTTACCCGACGCGTTCACGAGCGTGCAAACCGTCGAAGGGGATGGTAAAGTCGGCTCCGTTCGTCTAGTCCACTTTGGGCCTGGTACAGTTGCTCTGATCCGATAGTTTTGAAATCGAAGTCTGTCCGCTAACAAGTTCTTCTTCCTCGTGTATGTTGCAGCCATACCTCACGAGTACGCCAAAGAGAAGCTCGAGTCGCTGGACGAGAGCAATCACTCGGTAGTTCTGTCTACGATCGAGGGCGGTCCAATCGGTAGCCTGTTCAGCAGCCAGACAGCCACCATCAGCTTGAAGCCCGTGGAGGACTCCGGAACCAAAGTCACCTGGAGCATCGCGTATGACAGCCTCGTGGAGGATCCTCCCCTGGACAGGATGAAAGGGAACGCCGAGAAAATCATGCGAGGCGTCGAGGCCTACCTGCTGTCTAACAAGGATTACACCGAGTAAGTCAGCCAGGAACAAAGAATAAAAGTGCTGCTAAAATGAAAAGAACTTTCAATGCCTTCATTCTGTGAAAAAAGAAACCACGATCAAGGTCTAAGTTCTTGCGCGCAGCGTCAAGGAAGGCTGTACAATCCGCCTCCAACTCCTCCTGCCGAGCTTTTGCGTGAGCCTAGACGGCCGGGAGCGCACTCTATCACCGTACATAGGATCTTTGCAATGACAGAGATGGCAAAGACATCTTGCGAAACAATTAGCGAGCGACGTCTGTGAATTTGTGGATACTGGAACATCGCTATGGTGTTTCTGTTGTAGAAGAGCTTTCCAACCAGAATCTTCGTTTCATTGTTGAAGGCTCTCCAGCTCGTGTTCTATATATAAACTTTCTTAAACACCAAGTAAATTTATCATAATATTTCATGGTTTAAAATAAATAAGCAACTGGAACAAAAGGTCCCTTTATTTTTCTTTAACTACTAGGGCTGGATCGGACGGCCTGGATTGACGTTTCACTGGATACTCTTTTTATTGCTCATATGCATTGTACACGCTTTACCGGTGCCACTATCGTCTCGTTTGATGTTTTGGCACCTCCATATCTTACAATTCTCCCAAAAAAACATTCTAACATGTTATAAGAACCATGACCCCGGCTCCTCGGGCTCTAAATCAGGAAGGATCACACGCGAGCGAGCTAGAACGCCTGTTCCAGGTTGAAAGTTGTCCAAGCCTCCTGAGAAACATAATAGCATTCGTAAGTAAGCCAGGCAAATCTTCAAACCGAACCTGTAAGAGATCGAATACTTTCTCTGCGATGTACTTGTGCTCCGTCGAGGCATTCTTTTGCTGAAGCTTGTCCGGGTGGACATACAAGGTAGCCTTCTTGTACGCCTTCCTTACAGATGCCGGTTCTATAATGTCGATCAATGATATTGGTTGCCATCCACACTCGGGCCACAAAATCTGCAGCATGCCAAAGCGCTACAGAGTTTTGCATTCGGAAAACAAAGCGCTTACGTATTGGAGGGTTGAAAGAAGTGCTCTGAGGTTGCCTTGTTTGCCAGCGGCCCATCTTTTAATGACGTCGTTCAGAAGCTCTGCAACTCTCTGCAACAAACGTGAAATAAGCAACCAACAAGTGAATGCAAGACAACAGAAGTACCTGTTTCTCTTCTTGAACCCTCTCAAGCTCCAGATCTCTGTTGTTTTTCTCAGCCAATGCCTTGGCCTGCACTTGAAGAAAGAACATTGAAGAAAGTATCTTGTCAACACCATCCTTACCACTCTTTCTACAGCCCGCTGATGACGTTCCAATCTAGACTTCCTGCGTTCGGGATGTTCTCCGTCAATCACCTCGAACTCTGTCCCTACGCCGGGAATTAGTACCACGAATGAGGCGAGGACAACAAAACGAGTTACCACAAAGAGATGACAAGTCGTCCGATACATTTGCTGGTGATGATCCTGACGATACACACTTTGGTTGTTCTTCGGCACTCAATGAGGAGCTTGATGTTTCCTGGTCCAGTCACAAATAAGAAACAAGATATACGAGACATACGAAACAAAAAGATGAACCTCCAGGCTCGACTTGCTGCTTCCGACATTCAAAGCGCCAGTTCCCAGTTTCTTCTCCTCACTTCCACCAGATGACTGTTCCACAGCCATCTGTTCATGGTCGCCACTATCTTTTGCTATTTTCTGAACTTCAGCTTTTTGCTCCGCTGCACATCCCCCTCTCTCCGGTTTGGGCTCGGGGTCCGGATCCGGACTAACAGCATCTTTGGCGTAACAATGATCGGAGTCTTCATCTTCGTAAGACCGCCCCGACGGAGATGTCTTGATCGAGTTTGAAACGGACGGGCTTGACTCAGATACTGATCCCTGAGAAACTACATACTCCTCAGCGACCAGCCCATCCAGGTCCTTGATAGAATACTCCATAAACGCATCGGTTTCCAAGAAGTCAGACATATCCTTCTCGCTGAGGAAGTCGACGTTCTTAGATGGCGCGGGTCTCGCCGGTGGTAGAACAGTCGGCTCTGTCGTCAACTGTACGTGATTGACTGTAACGAAATTCACCTGTTTCTCTTTTTTGCTGAATCCGTCATCATAAGTGAAGCTGTCGGCTGCTTTCCTCGGAAAGCACTTGATCGAAGGGTCCGTTGACAGCTCAACCTCATAATCGAAGTCTTGCTCGGCCGCGGAAGAATCGCAGAAAGGACTGCTCGTTGCTTGCGCGCTTCCAAAACTCTTCTGACCATTCGAAGCTGACGTCTGTCCTGGAACATGGCTGGCCTCTCGCCGCGTTCTAGAAGATCTCCTGTGCGATGATGTCTTGCTGCTGCGGTGTTTTCGATTAGTTTTATACGTGTGCCTCGTCGCAGTGGAAGCCTTTCTGAGGTACTCCTGCTCGGAAGACTCACTGCTACTGGAGCTGGCAACTTCCAAGTCGACTTCACGTCCGAAAGTTTTCATCTTGGGCACAGCATCTCCGGCAGCGGGCACTTTCGAAACATTCTTGTACACTTTCTCGTAGCTGGGCACACCGACCGGGTCTTTCGCACCTTTGGAGGCCCTCGTGCTGTACGAGTGCACTGTTGAGTCGTCAAATTGCTCTGTGAAAGGAGAGGACGTGGCCGAGACACTGGTTACGGCAGGCTGCTTACGATTGGATTCCAAACCCACAAATGTCTGCTGAGGGGACTTATCAACGGACCCCAGCGAGCTTTTGTGTGGACTGTTAAAGTGTTTGGCATCTCCATATACCCTGCACAAAACCAAGAGCGAATCAGCCACAACATGCCGGAAAGCTAGATAGAAGCGAAAAAACAAATAACAAACACGAGATGCTCCACGTCCAATCATGCAGCATTCAACCAGGAAAAGTGAGTGACAAACACAAGCTTCCAACTTGGCCTACAACTAGAGCTAAACTAACAGCACGTACTCTGATTCATACTCGAAGATTGGGTTCCCGTGGGGCTCGCGGCACATCGAGTGGATGGACGAGACCGGGCTGGAGTCGGATTGAGAAGAAAGCTTGGTTTTGACCCCCGGCTTTCTCTTGGCTTCCGCGAATCCAGAGCACCGCAGCAAATCCTTCAAGAGTTTCGTCCTTGGACCTGTGAGAGGACCCCCAAACACGTCGTCGTAAACGATCTCTTCCGCGGGAGGAGGAGAAGCAGCTGCTACAGGGACCTTGGGCAGCTCCTCGCTCGAGCCTTTAAACACCTCGCCAGTGTCACGCTCCGGAACGGGCAGATCGAAGACTGGCAATTCCGTGGTGCGGGATTTCGTCTTGGAGGATTGCTGCTGGAAAGAGAAGGACGTGCTGCTGCTGCTGCTGCTACTGCTTCGTTTGGATCCTCCCTGGAAGATGTCATCATAGTCTGGAATGGCCGCATTCCTGCCAGTGGGAGCCGATGCGAGGTACTTTGGCGGCCCTCCAAAGACATCGCTGTATTCTATCCTGCCGCTACCTTTGGTGCCGTGTTGATGCGAGGAAGAAGAACAAGGACGGCACGAATCGCAGCAAGAGGAAGAAGAGGAAGAGATATTCTTCTTCCCAATTCCTGGAGATTTGATGCCGCCGCATCCACTGCTAACCCTATCCCCTGCCAAATCGCTGCTGTTCCTCCTGATTCCAGCTCCAGCCATGGCAGCTCCCGATCCAAAAGATGCTACTCGGGACGACGAAGAGAAGGGACTTCGACAAGACGAGCCATCGGCGATATTACCACTCGCCGCCGCCGCTGCTGGCGATGGCGCAGGGCTGCGCTTGCCGCAACCTATCCCTAATCCTCCTTCTCCCGGGAATGCAGGCCAAGCAGCGCCGCCAGGAGCGCGCCGCCGCCTGGACGATCCGGACTGCGGAGGCAGCGGCACCGCCTTGTCCGATCGCCTGATCGCCATAGCTGGAGCTTCCTCCATCGCCACCACACAACGAGCGCAAACAAAAATAATGGACTCGAGACAGAAGTTTACACAGCCATTGGGAGAATGCCCAAATCTGAGCGGTAAATTTCTTACCGGGATGTCCGCCGTGGCGCCGTCTGGTTGGGCGGAGCTGCACACGTGGACAGATGCCCGCCGCGTGGCTACCACGCGGCCCTAATCGCATATACCGCGCATCTTGGGATGATCACAAACGGATGAGAGAAAGTGATGTTTGGAATTTTTTTAGTTTCGCGCTGCGATCTCTTGTTTCTATGTAGGATGTACGGACGATTACGTAGACAGGACAATATGGGCCACCCCTGGCCCATCCAACCCAATAGAGCCATGTGTGTTTCTCTCATAACGCGCAAGCGGTCGTGATTGGATTGCTCCAAATTCACTCGTGTTCCCGACCGTCGATGGCCTGTTTTATCTCGTCGCCCACCACCTTGGAAATGGTCTTGGATAGTTGGACTGTATAGAAAAAGCTTTCCTTGGAGAAATCTATATTTCCTTGGCCTTGCTTGGTTTGCACATCACATTCGGGCATTTTCTTGTGGTTTGCAATCGATATAGATGGGAAAAGCGTGAAAAAATCACCACCTTTTGCTAGAGAGCCTGTGAGGGCCCCCATCACAACGAATCAAAGAAAAAAATATACCTCTGCAAAGTCAAAAAAAAACTATGTACAAGATCCCCCTAAGTATTGGTCGGCCAGCTTTTCTCCCTACCCAGATCGCAAGACCCCGAGTTCCATGCACGTACATTTTGGTGGTGGTGGTGGTGGTGGAAGTGGTCAATCAATATAGGCATTGGTGATTTTTGTTTCTTTGTTGCAGATTTCCTGGCCTGCCCAGGATGGATCGATCGATCTCCTCTATCTCTTCAAACCTTGGCCTTGTTTGATGGTGCTTGGACTGTTGCTATTGTTCCTTGTGTGACTGAGCGAGCTAGTGTTTCTCCTCCAACACTGTTGTCATGTTTCATTTGGCCTGGGTGGGCTTCACAGCTTGGAGATAAAGATCCCGCTGCTGTGGCTGCTGCTTGGCAAATGGCAACTATCTGTTTTTCTATAAGTCGAGCTTGAGTGGGCTTCTAGACAGAGATCGCCACAGACATTGCTATCACTCACATCAGATAGGTAGATGCTGCGATTGGAATGGACACATTGAGAGGATACACAAAAATCAAAAAAGTTAGCTGTCAATAACAACAATGTTGCTGGTGATGATCCTCCCCCTTTTTGGTAACACAATCAGACAATTCAATAGTGTCAGAGCACATGAAAGAAAAAAATTTGCCTGGCAAGAGAAAGTTCTTTCTAAACTATAATATTAATTAATTCATTAATTAATTATTTCTTTACACTAAAATTATCACTGATTCACACAAAGGCTATAGAGACTGTTCTTTCTTTCCCACCTAAAATCCAACCAGTCAAACAACCAAGCCGTGTGCGCTCCACGCGTCCTGCCCTAATTGACTGCTTCCACTTCACTTTGCTGCTGATTAGATGGATAAATAGGGCACGCTTTCTTCGATCTTCTTCTCTTTTCTGGTTGCGGAGCTACTTTCCTTCTCTCTACGCACATTGCGAGCGCCGGATCGATCCATCGCCAGCCAGCAGCTATGTGTCCGCTGCGATTTATCCTCGTCTTCCTCTCCGCCACACTGGCAGGGTATTTCGCGTGGAAGAATTTGTGGGGCGCTAGCGCCGGCGACGACGAGGAGCAAATCGAAGAGGAAGACAGCGCCAAGCAACAGGAATCCTCGTCGCTGCTCGACAAGGTATGCAAATCTTCCCACTGTTACCGCAATGCGAAAAATCTCTCTTTTCTTCTTCTCAGGTTTGCTCCAAGACGAGTTTGTTCTTCTGGACGTTTGTAGACATGGCCAGCGGTCGCTACTTGTGGCAGAATCTAGTGGCCAAGCAAAGCAAAACCAGCTGATCTGATAGAGGTAGCGCTTCCATTTCTCACACAAAGTCATAGGCTATGGCTCATAGCGAAGAAAACTAAACAAGGAGCGTGATCCAGCGGTCGTGCATCCCACGCCCACATTCGTTGACAATTTCCTTCTAGCCAACATGTAAATCATCTTCTTCTAGAAGAAAAGTTCGTTTTTTTTTTTTCTCATTCATCCATTGTGGATTGACTCGCTCAATCTCGTGAGTCGTGAAGTAAAACTACTTAGATCCTCCGTAACACTCGTCTGTTCAGTGGTGCCTCCTATACCGAGAAAAAGTGAATAAAACAAAGGAGAGAAACAAAAGAGGATCAAGCTTGAAGAAAACTGCCAGGAGCTTCCTCCAAAGCTGAAAAGTATACCTCAGACTCTGGATCACTGCTACTATCATTCCCGCCATCGCCAAAACTTTGCCTTCCATCACCATCCTGCTGCTGCTGCTGCTGCTGACATTCCTGCTGGACGATCAAACGCTGGCCGTGCACATCCACCTCCGCCTGTGCTGCTACTTCTCTTCCTTCCCTCGCATCCTCCTGACCCAAACTTCCACCGCCTTCAAATGCCACACACCGGCCAGCGTTTGCCGGCGCAAACATGAACTCGGTCTGGCCCAAGTTCACCACCACCGTGATGTCACAGTCGGCTCCAACCACGGGAAACAAGTGTGGTGTCGTCGAAGGCATCGGGCCATCGGCACGAAACGTAAAGTCGGTCGTCATCTGCTGGCCACCATTGTGTGTGAAGTAGACGAGAGATCTGTCCAAGTCGTAGCCGCAGCCAACCGTGACCCCGACGTAGTTCCACCTCCTGCTCGTCGCAACACCGTCGTGAGGATCGTTGATGTAGACGCTGCCATTGGAGTGGTAGCCGAGAGAGACCAAGTCGAGGCCTGGGAGACGGAACGGAGGTGCTGGTCTCGCTGCCAGGCCGATACCAACACGTCCGCTGATAGAGCCCGAGCTCCTTCCGTTTTTTCCATTGCGAGAGAAGCTAAGGATTGTCATCTCGAAATAGTTGACGTTGGGAAGACAGTTTGGCGGATGAGCACTCGGAGAGAGTGGAAGGAGGCACTGGAGAGACTGACAACGTCGGAGACGAGCACATCCTGGATTCAACCGAATTTGCTGCAAAGGCTGGCCGGTGGTGCTCCTCAAACAACCCGAAACCGGTGGAATCGACTGAAAGATCGCTGTGCTTAAGCCGTTGAGCTCGTCTGGAATGCCCCTGTACACGAACTGCCAAGCCGACCACGAGAGCGCGTGCTGTCCGAGCTCCTCTTCCTCGTTGAAAGGCATGAACAAGTTGTAGGCACGCCACTGCTCGGCAAACATGAGACTGTGCGTGGCAGCTGCCTTGGAGCGCATGTCTCTGATCCGCTTGGCACCATAGCAAATGCAGCAAAGTGGTCCACAGATGAGCAGAGCGATGAAGGCCGAGAAACTACCAAGGATGATTGCCAGACGTATGTCTCGCTTCCTGTTCCTGTTGGACTGATCTTGGCCATCCTCTACACTCAGTTCCGCTTCCACTAGCCTGTTGTAATCGGGACAATCCAAACATCCTTCTCCTCCTTTTCCTCCTCTTGCTTTGACGACGATCGACTTCACAGACTCTAGCAACGCGCTGCTGCTACCACCCTGCTTTGCTGATGAAGTCGTGACGCATACGAGTACCAGGAGAATGACGCAAACACATCCTTCATTCATTCAGTGGCCGGCCTGGAGGGTGAGTGTGCCTGGCATTGACAATTCTCTCATCCCTTGCCAACGCGCGAGGGATGAAAAGAGCAATGCGCGACCAGTGGATGACTTGGCATTCCACGTGTCGTGAATCTTATGACATACACGCAGCACTGCATTCCTGAAAAACCATAAAAACAGTCAAGCAGCATTCCAAATAGAGATCTTTGGCTGGCTTACCAGATTTTCTCGGCTCCACAAACAAACAAGAGAAATAATCTGAAAGATCCAACACCTCGCAAGTTGAAAAGAATAAAAAGAAAGTGAAAGGACAAAACGAACTAAACCTTCAAGCTTTTGCTGGAGAGGACGTCATTCAGGACAGCAGCCGACCTTCTTGGTTGCAGTCACGTCGTCTTTGCTCACGTTGATCGTCTGGCCCTTGCCGGGAACAGCCGATGGATCCTCACCAACATCCAGAGCTTTCTTACTCACGACGCGGTAGATCTGCGTGAGTATCTGCTTGAACGAGTTCTCCACATTGACGGACTCGAGTGCCGAGGTCTCCATGAAGTACAGGCCTTCCTTCTCGGAGTAAGCCTGGCCATCTTCGGTGGAAACGCAGCGGAGGTGGCGGAGATCGGACTTGTTGCCAACGAGCATGACGACGATGTTGGAATCGGTGTGGTCCTTGAGCTCCTTGAGCCATCTCTCAACGTTCTCGAAAGTAGCCAGCCGGGTAACGTCATAGACGAGCAACGCTCCCACAGCTCCTCGGTAGTAAGCACTGGTGATAGCTCGATACCTGTATGAAAGTCCGGAAAGGAAAAAAAGAGAGGAGAGAAATCGTGTGAGTTCTTTGCTGTTCTTCGTAGTTCCAAACTCGTGATACTAGAAAGAAATAAAAACGATCTTGTCTAGCTCTACTACAAAGAAGAAAAAAAACTGGGAAGAAAGGACGTGAAAGAAGAGGAAACGCACCTTTCTTGGCCTGCAGTGTCCCAGATTTGCGCCTTGATGAGCTTCCCATCCACATTGATGCTGCGCGTCGCAAACTCGACGCCAATCGTCGACTTGGACTCCAAGCTAAACTCGTTCCGGGTGAATCGTGACAGAAGATTGGATTTTCCCACACCAGAGTCCCCGATCAACACTACCTTGAACAGATAATCGTAATCGTCCTCGGATCTGTACGCCATGGCAGCACAAATCCCTCCTTTGTGCTCGCGTTCTACCCTAAATCCCGACAGCAGCTCAAAGAAGCGAAGGCTTGCGCTCCCGTTACAAGAAATGGAAACGGCCGCGGTGCCTCGCCAAGAAGAGCCCTAGAAACCCCTGCATTTGCCGATCATCAGTCGAGGCAACTCCCATTTGAAAAATTTCCTTCTCTTCTCACCCAAGAACCCTAACAAAATCGGAACCGTTGGTGGCACTCTCAACGGCTAGGATGGGTCCATGTGGCAAACGCATGCTAGGGCGCATGGCTTATTCTCTTGGTGTTTTTGGAGCAGCAGTAGCGTGCAAGGTGTGCGCGCGTGACTGATTCTGAGTGACTTGATTGATCCTTGGCAGGCGCGCATTCCGATCGCAGTGATCGCGAGATCCATGTCGTCGCAGTCTTCGCAAGCGAGCGATGGTAAGTATGAAATTTTCTTCCTTTGCTCAAAGCAAAGATTGATTGATTTCCTTTGCCCAGAAATTATCAGTGATCTTTCCAAAAAGAAATGTGTTCCGTGCGATTCCAAAAACTTGAGGCCAATGTCAGAGGAATCTGCAAAGGAGTTGCTCCATCAGGTGCGTTCGTTTTTAAGACTTGGTCGAGGATCTTTTCTTCTTTCCTTTTCTTCTTTAGGCACCGGGATGGACGATCGAGCAAGTTGATGGCAAGCTGGAGCTCCAGAGGAGCTGGAGAACAAAGAGTTTTATCAAAGGGATTGAATTCTTCAAGCTCGTGAGTGATGTCGCTGAAGCAGAAGGTAAGAAACTCTTTTTCTCTTTGATTTTGTTTTCCATCTCTGTTTTGTTTCAGGCCACCACCCGGATCTCCACCTTACTGGCTACAACAACGTGAGAATCAACATATCCACGCATTCTGCTGGTTAGTTTGATGCGAACTCCAATAGCTTTCTCAAATTCTGTGTGCTCTACCAGGTGGCTTGACAGAGAATGACTTCATTCTAGCAGCCAAGATCGGGGCTTTGGATGCGAGCGACTTGTTTAGAAAGCCAAAAGTATGAGAGAACGCGGTACGTTTTAGAATCTTCCAGTTTCCTAGAAGCTATCAGAGATAAACTCTTCATCGTGCTCAGCTCTAATCAGAGCACGGTATTTGTGCCGTAATGTCGCTTTCCCTCTTTGCCACTGCGTCATGGTATGCTCGTATCTCCAGATCATCCAGGCGAAGAAAATGTTTTACTCCGTGCATCGCCACTTTCCTTGTGCTTGGACCATACGAGCACAAGATGTCTGTCAATGGCTCCATGTCAATCCTGTCGCTAGCACATTCGTATACGTAACCGGCAACTTGGATGTATGGGATACACAAAGACCATGGAAGGAGGATACTGTTCTTCCAGCTCTGAAAGAGCAGAGCAACTCAAAGCAAGGATCTACAGTTGATATCTCGCTCTTGAACGCAAAGAGAATCCTCGGCTGAGAATGATCCCATCTCACGCGCAGTTATCTTCCGGGAGAATGCAATCATCCAGATACTGATTCAGCCTGTTCGAAAGCTTCTCTTTCGTGTGATCTTCGACATTCTCGAAGGCTTTGGAGAAGTGGGATTGTAAGAAACTTTCCATGCGCGTCGGGCAAGCTTGGGATGCCTCTGCAAAACTGGATCCAAGCAAGGAGGTCTATGTGACAGGAGATCTTTTCAGTCTGGTTCGGAGGAGGTGAGCCCCTTCTTTCATTGTTTTGCCCACCGGGTTTACAAAACTCCGATTTAACACTTATTTAGAGAGCCTCGACTCGGCTCTGAGAAGACTCATCCTCTGCAATAGAGAGACCCCCGCTGGGGCAGAAGGTGATGGTGTAACCCCCACCGGAACCGCAGGTGAAGGTGCTGGTCGCGTCGTCGTAGGCGTAGCTATATGCCTGCGGGCACGCGTCTTTGAAAATCCGGGAGAAGTACGTCGGACTGCACGTCTCGGGCCTGTTGTGCGACCCCGTGCAGCAGAACTCCTCGCTGTGGAACACCTCGCAAGCGCTCTTGCAGCCGATGACCCAGTTATCCTTGCGCACCTGTATTGCTCGAGCTTAGAAACTAATCCCGGAAACTGATGCTTGTACCTGGAGCTCCTTAGGACAGCGCGCATTCACGTCGCTGTGACATCCGGCCGAGGCGCAGTTGTACTCGGGGTTGATTCGCAGCGGTAAGTTGTAGCCGTCGACCAGAGACACGTCGTAGTAGTCGAGACCGGCGAAACCATTGAGCTGGAACTCGGCCAGGGTGGCGGGCGTGACACCACCCGAGTTGCCGCAGTTGAGTTTGTCGCCACAGTCGCCCGAGTCGCAGTGACCACGGCCGCTACCGTCGAAGTTGCAGCCCCTGCGTCCCCAGAACCGGCCCGCCCAGCCCGAGCCTGGGTAGAGGTCGTAAGATTGCCACGATTCCAAACGGGCACCCCCACCCCCGAGTTGCGGCTTGCCGGAGTTTGAAATCCAGCCGGGCCACACTGTGAAGGGGCAGGCGTTGTAGAGGCGGATTCGGACGCCGTGCACACCTGCATGGAACGAAGAACATCAATTGAGAAAATAATGCTCTTGAGAAGAAGTGACTAGAAATCCCTCGGATTAGGAATTGGAAGAACACACTCATGTTTAAGCTGTGTTCATGCTAGAATGCAAGACTTTGAAATTCAGTGCAGCTAAATACCTTCAACTGTGAGGAGAACAATAGCCAAGATAGCCAGCGTGTTCACTCGAAAGAGCTCCATGCCTCTATCCAGTATAGGAATTCTCGCTCCGAGATTAATAGCAGAATAGGTGCCGCCCACTTTGACCACTATTTCAGTTTAAAATGCCACCAAGATGTCATTTGCGGGAATAATGATCAACAAAGGCTGCAAATTGCACCCAAGAGTCATCGAAACATGATCGAATTTGGATCAGATCGATAGGAGGATGTGGGGTATCTTGAGTTGACACGGCTTCTTTTCAGACTTCGTGAAAAATGGGAAGGTTTAGCATTTATATCTAACTAATTTAGATGTTACATGTGGTATACATCTAAGAGATTGACGTCTACCATATAGTTATACAGAATATGAAACCTATGGATGGAAGGGAACAAAAATTCAATATACTCCATATTCCATAATTAATTTTAATCTAAAGTAACTTGTAAATTAAAAGAAACACACAATAGAGCTATAATAATAATGTTAATTTAAAGCTAAGCAACCTTTCCATCATGCTTATGATTTATGAACTTGCTGAAGTTGTGCAACACTTTTCTAATGGATTTAATTCCTCAATATCAAATCCATACATTACTGTTTAAAATCACTAACTTTTAAAAGTAGTTGATCTGTAAGAAGTTAGGAGAAAAGAAGCTAAATGAAGAGTTGTTTATAGCAAAAGATCACATTGCAACTCTCATAGATACCATCAATTAAATAAATATTATTGATATGTAAAAAAAAAAAAAGTTAACATATATGGCTCTTAATCAATTTTTTTCCATAGAAGCCTTCTACTATAACAATATACCCTGTCAAGGTGATAGAAATTACTAAACTAAAGGCACCTAAAAAGTGTCTATTCTAACCTCATGCATCAATAGATGTATAGATCACAATAGTCTAAATAACACATGCCTCATTTAGTTATAAGTCTTGGATGAAATGAACTTTTACACTTATGGTTGTGAGTATTCTTTGCATTTATTATGTGTCATGAAGATATTGAAAATGAAAAACTTCTAAAAATGCATGGTGTGCAACTATAAATTCCACAATTACATGTATATGCTTTTTGGGTTGGCAATAGTGATTATCAAAAAGAAATTGGAAAAAACCACTTGCCTTGTGATGCCATATAAAGATGGTTAAATTCACATTTTCAAGAAGCTAGAGGACTATTTAGTATTTGAGTGGGAGAAGATAAAATATCTCCACCAAATGACTTTTAGCTTCTATAAGGAATTATTTAGTCATCTATTTCATAGATGGGCTTACTATTATAAATTTTTTCTTATGTATGTGACAAAGTAAACAATTGGATATTAAAGGATTTGATAAATACTTTTAAGTATATTTAGATCTCATTATTGAGTGTGTTGTTACTTAAAAATATAACTGCATACTAGATGTGTTCATATGTTAACAAGAAGAAATAGAGATTACAAAAAGACATTCATTATATATTTAGTTTAATTTTATAATTAAACTAGCAATCAGTTTATGTTTGATTTTTTTTTCTTTATGTTATTAAAAATGGTAAAAACTTGAGCAATTGGACAAAATTATAAATTACCAACATAAAAGCAATTTTAATGTTGTTTTCATTGCAACTTTTTCAAATGAAAAGATAAAGGTAATAGTCAAAGCTATTAAGGTAGAGGGTAATGTTATTGATGAAATGATGTTAGGGTTGTAATAATTATATCAAGCTTGATTAATATTGGCCTTTATATGAATTTCTAAGCCTCCTCCATTGAATTGAACTTTGGGTTAGAATACTTATTAACTTATAATAATAAATGCTAGATAAATTAGAGATTAAAAGAAAGATATATTCTAACTTTTGGATTTGCATTAAGCCAATATAAGTAAATCTTTAGAACACATCTTTTCCTTACTACATAATATTTGTAATATGTATTTTTTGTAATATTGTTGCTTATAAGCTTGTGATAAATTAACAATCCTTGAACAATACTTTATGCAAGTTTTAAGATTGTTAGTAGCATTTTAACACTTTATTAAATCACTTACTAGTGAAATAGCATTTAATTAGTCCCACAACCATCAATAAATTACTAAAATCAATCTTGTAAATAATTTTATTATTTTAATTTAAGGGCTTTATGGACTTAAAAAGTCTTTTGACTTGATATAAAGCCTATTAGGAAGCTCTCCCATCAGGCATCTTTCCCATCATTTTCTTTTAAATATCATTTAACATGTCAGGAAGAAAGTTTGAAAAAACATTTCATTGGGAATATTTTTATTTCTTATAAATTTTTTTTTATTGGCAATTTTCAAAAGAATTTCTACTGATGGGAAGAAAATGAGATTTTAGATCCATCAAAAGGTTTTAAAGGTGCTTCCCAAAGGAAAAATAGCATTTGTCAGAAGAAAAATCTTTATACTAAAATATACTATCATGAGAAAAAGTTTTTGATAAACATTGTTAGGGTTTATTTCTCTTAACAGAAGAATTTACATCCTATTGGCAGAAAAAAAATTTAGTTGTTAGAAAATATTAGAATATTTTCCTAACATATTTTCTCATTCTAGCATATTATTTAAAATTCCATTCCATTGGGGAAGGACTTTTTGACATAACCAATTCCACATCATGGCCATGTAATCAAAATAAATATCTTAAGAACTCTCTTGTTGGGAAGAACCCATTAGGATTCTCTTGTTAAGTCCCAATAGAAATATATAATGAAACAAGTGTTGACCGTGTGGCAATCTTATTAATCTATAATGATGAATGTTTACATCAGTATGCTCTCAACCATTAAATTAAGAATATGCTAGAATATATTTTTTCTAATTTAAACGGTTAATCCATTCACATATGTGAGATAAGAGGTAATATATATGGGAGATTCTACCGGTTTTTTTTCCCTATTGCGGGTACAAAAAGAATTTTGAGAATAAGATGGCCAATTTAGCTTAAACCTACCTCAGATTTCTTGCTGTAGGGATCCATGATCCTGCCAGCTGCATTCCACTAAATTTATGAGGAGAAGACTTTGGTTGTGAACTCATAAAGGTAAGTACTGCTTCTAGAATGAAGGGATGCAAGTTTGTTTGTCGTCAAAAGCAAAGACAATACTGAGAAGGCCCCAAATCCTCCATTGGGAATGTACGTTTGAGAGGTTGAACTCATGCTTAAAATATTTTTGGTTTTGCATATCCTTGACTTGCACAAGAATTATTAGTTGATGTTTGAAGAATGTATGGTCGGGGGTGACCGTCATCAAAAGGTGAGTTCTATTAGTTTTGATGGTTAAAGAGAAAACCTAGTGTTTGCTTCTCCAAGGCGCTGGAATTCGTCCAGGAACATGCCGATTTCTTGGGAGGCGAAAGGTCGCTGTATGGGCTCTTCCTCTTCTTATCTACAGGTAAGTGGTAAGCCAAGCTTTAACTCACAAGAACTTTGACAAGTGCTTTGCTTTGCAAGGTTATGCCTGTGATCAAGCCACAAATCGCGTGGAGGTGGAGCCGTTCATAGTACCGGCAGTAGACTTGATGGGATTTGGTGACGAAGATTGGGTGCTCGAAGTTGCCAGGCTCTTGCAAGGCTTGGACGAGTTTCTAGACCATTACGACTACAGCCAAGAGACAAGGAGCTTCCCCTTTGTGGGGAATGGGTAATGTGGAGGAGGAAAGCTCAGTTCCAGCAGAAGGGTCGTTTGCTTACAACTTTACTGATAAGGATGGAGTGGCAAAGGTTGCAAGCTTTCATCTGGTTGGATATGGTCTTGAGCGTGGTGTGGAAGACGAGTTTGCTCTGGTTATAGGATGCAAATTGAGAAACGCTAGAAATGCATTGCAAGTCGACCTTTGAGCAACACCCTTGGACCACGTAGAAACTTTAATCGGACGCAAATGCAATGCGGGCAATGCAAAGATACGTATCCAGCAAGGAGACGTTCTAGAGTATGTCAGGAGTTTTCAGTGCCAACCCCCACATTTATGTGGATTCACAAAAACACTGCCAGTCTCGATCAATGGTGGTCTTGACGGATTCTCGCTCCCGAGGAGAAGATCATGTCAACTGTGATAGGAGAAAAAGTATTGAAGGGCTGCTGAGGACCATGTCAAATATGTCTACTTCCTAAACGCGGGCTTGAGTGAAATCCCGCCGTTGCTTGGACATATCGGACGGCGGCCATGAAGCGCGGGAATGCTTGCACACGTGGCGCGATTGCGGGGCGTTGAATTGGGGAGCCTTTTTTCTTTCTTACGCCGGAGAAAGAGTGACGATGGCGGGGCGTGAGGTTTATTTAGGGTTCTTGCGCGATTTGTGTGACGCTTGTCCCACCTGGCGTCCTTCCTCGCGTCGAACGATAGGCACTTTCCAGAATGCGGCCATTTTGACCGATTCCAGGCGATGCGTGCTACAGCCGGCGGTGCTGCCGCGCTTTGTTTTCTTCGATTGGGCTCGGCAGCGGCAGCGCATGACTCCGCATCCCGGAAAATGGATCGATCGGCAAGGTTTCGAATTGGAGCTGTGGCTTTACTTCTTTGGATGGCGCTGGGATTTGTCCAGTCCGTGACGGATTCGTCCGAGGGTAAGTGCTCGAAATTTCAATCGATTTTCTCATTTTATCTTTTCCTTGGTTTTCTTGGTTGGGTGTGGCAGTCGCGGCGTTGAGGGCATTTCAGGACAGAATTGTGGACAATAACGCAAGGCTCGAGAATTGGTGGGGTAACGATCCTTGCGGGAATGGCACAAACTGGGAAGGCGTGTTTTGCGAGCGCGATTCGAGAAATATCTTTCACGTTGTGGAGTTGTAAGCCTAAACTCGTGCTCCATCATTGTAAAACTGACCAGATTTTTTTTTTCTTAGGCGGCTCTTGAATCATCAACTGTCTGGCACTTTAGCTCCAGAACTTGGAAATCTTCGATGGCTCAGGATCTTGTAAGTGTTTTTTTTTCTCTATTTTCTCTTAAGCTTATGCGAAGTCACGTTTTCGTTTTCTGTTGCGAAGGGATGTTATGTGGAACGATTTCACTGGGAGCATCCCGCCCACTTTTGGCATGTTGGAGAACCTTGACCTCCTGTAAGGGTGCTGTTTTCATTTTTTTTTTCCGATTAGCTAATATATGTGAATTTGCAGCTTGCTAAATGGTAACAAGCTTACTGGCGAGCTGCCATGGGAGCTTGGAAATCTTACAAGGATGAACAGGATACAAATCGATCAAAACAATATCACTGGTCCAATTCCTCCTACATTTGGAAATCTGACCAGCGCTAAGCACTTGTGAGTCTTAATGCGTGTTTCTATTGAACTGTTGATAACGCGGTGACAGCCACATGAACAACAACTCCCTAACCGGAAGTATTCCACCGGATATTGGGAGGCTTCCAAATATTGTCCACATGTGAGTGTTTTCTGTTTCTTGTCCTCGATGTGTTCTTTTGATGTTTTTGTGATTGGCAGTTTGCTTGATAATAACAAGCTTGAGGGAAGGCTACCGGTAGAGCTTTCGAACCTTAGAAACACGCTGCTTATTCTGTAAGAATACAATATATTAACTCTTGTAAACTTGAGCTCATGATGTTGCAGGCAGCTGGACAATAATCGCTTCGCTGACGATGCCGTGATCCCGGCGGAGTATGGAACTCTTCAAAATCTATTTAAGATGTGAGTTAGCGTGCGTTATATCGTCTGGCCGCAGGTCATAACACCTGTGTGACCTACAGAAGCTTGAGAAACTGTAACATACAAGGACAGGTTCCAGATCTTAGCAGGATTTCACAGCTTGGATACTTGTAAGTTTGTTAGCTGTGGTTTTTATTTGTGACTGATTTTAAAACAGGGACTTGAGCAACAACAACTTGACAGGAGAGATACCAAACACGGGGATATCGTCAAACATTACGTCGATGTTAGTAAGATATTCTTTTCCCTGGTGCGATTAAAGTTCTGTTCTTTCAGAGATCTGTCCAACAACTCCTTATCCGGAAACATTCCGTCCAGCTTTAACAATCTACCGAACCTTCAAGCACTGTAAGCTGTACTTTTGAGAATCCTTTATCTTCTAAACTTTCGTCCTACAGTATCCTCCACGACAACCGCCTTAATGGATCTGTTGATGGAGCTTTAATTGCCGGACTAAGAAACTCGTCACAAAGGCTTCTTTTGTAAGGAAAGGCCTCAAGATTTTTTAGTCTTAAAGTGTCTGTTGTGCAGGGACTTCCAGAGCAACTCGTTTTCCAACGTCGATCCAAGCTTGGTAGCAAACATTTCAGCTTCGTCTGGAATGTATAGTGCCTGGTAAGTCATCTATAACATAGGAACATGTTCATTGTTCATTGCTGTTAATTACTTGCAGGCTGGGTGGAAATCCTTTGTGTCAAAATTCGCCAAGGAGTCTTTCGCCCGTCTGCCAGTCTGGTACTCTTGTTTCACAAACTGCTCAAGACAATGGATTCGGAAACAATCGAAGTGAAAGTTGCACTGGTTTGTGTGATCCGAATAGTGAACTGATCCCAGCGCTTGCCGTTCGTGGCCAGTGCGTTTGTGCTTCACCGGCCGTGGTTGCGTACAGATTGAAAAGTCCAGGTTTTACATTTTTCGATCGCTACATCAATCGCTTCGAAGGTTATATATCTAGCGGGCTCAATCTCACCCGAGACCAGGTATTTCTCAAAGGATTTAGGTGGGAAAAGGGACCCAGGCTGGCAATGAACATCAGTTTCTACCCGCCGGTACAAAACAGAACAAATAACGTGTCCGAGTTGAGGAGGCTGTATCATGCATTCGGTGGATGGTTAATCCCTGACGACGACGTCTTTGGGCCGTACGAGTTCCTCGGTTTCACTCCTCCATTTGGAATTGGTAAGCCTGTCGGCTGATGCGTTGTTTGCTAACGATCGCTGGTTATGTGGCCAGATCTATACGACATCATCCCACGGCCAGAGAAGAAAAAGCTCACTGCAGGTGCTATAGCAGGGATACTGATTGCTGTCGTCGCAGTAACTGCAGCAGTCGTAGGAACAGTGGTGTTTTTCCTAGCACGAAGGAGGAGCAAACGCATGGGAAAGTCAAGCAGAAAACGAATTATCAGTAATGTCTTACTATTTCTTATTTTGACACTCATTTGAAATTTCTGATTTACTCAAACTTGCAGCGGACAAGCGCGAGCTTAACGAAATGCTGAAGGTGGCAGGAGTGAAGTCGTTCTCGTACGGCGAAATGCTAGCGGCGACAGCATCATTCGATGATGCAAGGCTGGCTGGCCAAGGTGGTTATGGAAAGGTTTATAGAGGCGTTCTATCCGATGGTCACGTTGTTGCGGTGAAACGAGCTGAGGAAGGATCCTTACAAGGGACTCACGAGTTTTACACAGAGATAGAACTCTTGTCAAGGGTGCATCACAGGAATTTGTTGTCCTTAGTTGGCTACTGTGACGACGAAGGCGAGCAGGTCTGTTGTTTGATTTTTGATGATCAAGAAACACTGACTATCTTGCTTTCATTCTCGATAGATGCTTGTTTACGAGTTCATGGAAGGAGGGACTTTACGAGAGAGGCTATCACGTACGTTTATACAGCTTTTGTACTGCCCCATAATTGTTTACGAGCTTGTGTTTTTGTTTCAGCAACTATCAAGCTTCCTTTAGACTTCGCAACCCGGTTACGAATTGCTTTGGGATCAGCACGGGGAATTCTGTATCTCCATACTGAAGCCAATCCTCCCATCTTCCATCGGGACATAAAAGCGAGCAACATTTTGCTGGATGGCAAGAACATCCCCAAAGTTGCCGACTTTGGTTTATCACGGCTTGCTCCTTCGCCTGATTTGGACGGCGTGACACCTGGTCACGTCTCCACTGTAGTCAAGGGAACTCCGGTACGAGTTATCGCATTCTCCTCGCAATTTTTGACATGTCTGTGATGCACAGGGGTATCTGGATCCAGAGTACTTCTTAACGCGGAAGCTCACAGATAAAAGCGATGTGTATAGCTTTGGTGTGGTGTTGATGGAACTCGTGACTGGAATGCATCCGATTTCGCAAGGCAAGAATCTCGTGAGAGAGGTAAGCTTTTCCGTGTTTTCTTTCACGAGCAACGCTGACGGACATGATGCTCTAGGTGACTGCCACATATCAAGCAGGGATGGTGCTTTCGATAGTAGACCAAAGAATGGGAAGCTACCCGTCCGAGGGGCTGGAGCCAATGTTAAGACTGGCTCTCAGCTGTGTCAAGGAGAATCCAAACGACCGGCCATCCATGGGAGCAGTTGTGCGAGATCTAGACGACTTGTGGCGATCGATGCCGTGGTCCGACGCCTTCTCCACCTTCGACGATCACCACCAGAGCAAATCCAGGAGCGACGAGAGCGCGCGACCCAGGGACCTGTACAATGAGTTGTACGTGTCCTCCAGCGCGGTGGAGGAGAGTGGCTTGTTTAGTGGAACCATCCACGCGGTGGCTCCAAGGTAAAAGTGCTCACTCGTGTAGAGTTTGTAAGATTGTTTGCCAACGGCTATACACAGTAAAAAAGAAAAGAAAAAAAGCATAGGACAAAGTTTCATGATCTTCAGAAAAAAGAGAAATTCGTGCGTATCTTCTTGTCATGCTAAGAAATGACAAAAGGTGGTGGAGACTGAGGTCAGTAGTGGTGGTGCCTGTCTTGCTCTTATTGGCTGGGCTTGGATGCAGTGGCAGTTGCCCAAAGATTTTCAATGATGGTATTACATTGGTTTTTCATTTTACCTTCTTTTTTATAAGTCAATTTTGTCTTGGGTGGAGAGCCTAGATGACCTTTGAGTCGCCCTGCCACATTCTGCGTTCCACCAACAAGTTCAACACGATCCGCTTTGCCACTTCGTTCCGGATACCGGACAGAAAGAACGATGCAGAACGAGAGCGGTGCTGTTGAAGTGCGGGTGTCTCCTGAACCCATCCGAGAGAGAGATGAGCAGCAAGGGGAAGAGCAGCAGCAGCAGCGGCAGCAGCAGCAACAGCAGCAGCAACATTGGTCGAAATGGTTCTTATTCCAAGACCCTCGAAGATTGATCCATGCCGCCAAGGTTGGACTGGCGCTGAGCTTGAGCTCGCTCTTCATGCTGGTGGAAGAGCCACCCAGGCTCCTGGGCGAGAATGCGATCTGGGCGATCATGACCGTGGTGGTAGTGTTCGAGTTTACTGTGGGTATGTGGAAAAGCGGGTCTTTGTTTTTCTTCCCGAGCCAGGCAGCTTAAATCTTGTTTGCCAGGTGCTACGCTAAGCAAGGGGCTTAACAGAGGCCTGGGAACACTTGCAGCGGCATTTCTGGGACTGGGCATCGCCCACTTGGCCGATTTCTGTGGCCACATTGGAGAAGCATCTATCATCATCACATCGGTGTTCTTGGCAGGTATAAATCCCTCTTTTCTTTCTTTCTGCTACAAGAGACGAGTCGACAGGTGCCGTGGCAACTTTCCTGCGCTTCATCCCGAAGCTCAAGGCCAAATATGACTACGGTCTGCTCATCTTCATGCTCACTTTCAGTCTTATCAGCGTCTCCAGCTACCAAACGTCCGAGGCCTCGTTTAAAACAGCCTCCACTCGGATGTTTACGATCCTGGTGGGCTGTGGCATCAGCCTGGTTATATGCATGTTTCTTTTCCCAGTCTGGGCTGGAGAGGATCTCCACGCTCTCTCCTCTCGCAACTTCGAAACTCTCGCTGATTGTCTACAAGGTATAAATCTAAGAAGCATTTGTTTATACTTTTGCCACCGTCAATGCCTTGTCTCTTTCAATGTCAGGCTCGGTCGAGGAGTATCTCAAGATTCCAGAGACTACAATGCAAGCCGTGATGGAAAAGGAGATCCAAAACCGGGCTGACAACGACGACATCTACGTAAAATACCGAGCTCTGCTGTCGTCCAGCCAGACGGAAGAATCTCTGGTGCGTATGAGATAAGAAAATCTAAACAGTGCCGGTCAATCAACACAGGCTGATCGATGTTCTCTTTTGTCATCTTTGATCGTGCCAGGCCAACTTTGCAGGATGGGAGCCACCCCACGGAAAGTTTCTCAAGTTTGGCTATCCCTGGCCGCACTATGTTAAAGTTGGCGCGGCCCTCCGGCACTGCGCGTATGCTTCCATGGCACTACACGGCTGCGTACGAGCAGAAGTCCAGGTACATGAATAGCACTGATAAAGATATTAATTTCCAACACACATTCGAATGCTCAGGCACCATATGAATTGCGACAAGTGTTTGGCACCGAAATCCTGAAAGTGACCAAGAGCGCGACAGAGCTGCTGCGGCAAGTGAGTGTCAACATCCGGAACATGGAGCACTGCCAGGAGAATGTGGACGCGCTGCTCGTACAAATGACAGCCTCGACGGAATCTCTGCAGGAATTCATCGACGCGCACTCGCACCTCTTCGTACACCCGACGATGGCCACCGCCATGATCGCTACCCGCAAGCCCAGCAACACTCCGCCAACTTTCGAGTACAGCACCGACCCCGAAAGTCCGTTCTCTAACAGCAGCGCCATCGATCCGGCACCACGAGCCATCCATCGCCTGGCAACAATGGGAAGCTACACGTCGCTGAGCATGCAGTCCATCCGGAGCGCGAGCAACTTCTCGGTGGCGACTTTCACGTCGCTACTGATCGAGACGGTGGCGAGGCTGGAAAACCTGGTGGAGGCGGCCGAGTGCCTGGCGGAGCTGGCCAGATTCAAGGAGGTGACAAGCGCAAGCCAGCAAAAGATTCATCGCCGGGAGAGCTTTCTCAGCTCCGTGGCCGACGACGAGGACATTGTACGCAGGTCGAGCGCACCAAACACCAGCACGGAGTAGAAACCATATGATATATTTGGCATTATCAATAAAGAAATCGAATCAGAGCTAATGTTTGTGTTGCTGTACACTCGCCAACAAAGAACAAGATAGAAACGCTCGAAAGTTCATGTGCTGGCAGCTGCAGAGATCAAGTTGGCGTTATGCTTAGCATCCATTGTTGCAGAAAAACCACTGATAGATATTGTTTTCTCTTCTGTCCCTTCTTCATTCATCGCACAATCAAACTTTCTCTTATCTTATTGATGGCAGCACTTGTCCTTTTTCTCGATTTTCCTTCGCTGCCTCGTGTCGGCCTTGGCGTCCGTCTTGTGCCCGCAGAACGGAACCGTGATTTCGTCCGGAAACAGAGTGGCAGACTCGAAATCGTCCGAGAACAGCACGGCCACAAACTTTGCTCCAAACCTCTTTCCAAACTCTTTTGCAAAGTCGCGGTAGACTGTCACCACCATCTCCTTGGTCACGTCGATAAAGACGTAGGCTTTGAGCTGTTTTTTCTTGCGCATGCTGTGGTACCTCTCGCCCTCCATAACTTTAGCATTCAGATCCCTCTTCCGCAACACCTCGGTCTCCAGTTCGATCAGCCAGCCTATGTCTTGAACGTAGAACTCGTGCAAGCCACGCCCTTCAAGCCGAGGACCGAGATCAATGTTTGGCCAAAGGGGCTGTTTCAATACCGCGCACAATGCACTGCACACAAGGTCTACGACATCTGTCATAAAAACGAAGAAAAGTAACGATTACCGGTGTATCCCCACTTGTATCTTTTCCAATGCATCTCCAGAGCAGTTTCGAAGCACCGCCGGATTGATTTGCTTCAACAGCCTCCGCATAAATTTTTTGATTCCCATGTGGTCGATCCGTCTCGCCGACCAGCCACGCTTGTATAGGTGCTTCCTGTAGAAGTAATCGTGTGCTAGGGATATCATACTGTAGTATCCGTCGTCGCTTTTTATCGCTTGTCCCCTGAGGACCATATTGTACATTGGCCCCCGTTCCTCGTTCCGGACAATAGAATCGGGAACCTGACAATAACTAAGTTTTGTCATTGACACACAAACAGACATATGTCTAACGTTACCTTGTCAAACTTGAGGAGCTTCATAGCAACAGCGTGATAAGGAGCTTCGTGAACGAGGTGGTGGAATCTACAAAAGAGCTCACCTTCCAGGAAAAAAAAAAAAAAAAAAAAAGAGGAGAGGAGAGCTGCACTTACATGCATATGCTCCGCAGCTCAGACAAGCCAGATAGAAACTCAGGCTTGGAGAACTTGGACCACAACTGGTCTTCCACTGCATATGGATGCCTCGTTCCAGCACCCCTGGACTCGAGCAACTCGAGGACATGTGCAAGGACTCCCGGTTGCTTGTCTGTCATTCGAAAAACATAATCCCGGAGTCCGTCACTCAACTGCGGGAGGCCATTATGTGCAAGCCAGCCTGTCCAAACTTCTATGGCTTCCAAATCACTGAGCTGTATAGCGACTCCATGGGAACCTGCAGGTCTGGCTGGAGATATGCCTGTTAGATTAACTTTCCGAAAAAAATAAGAAATTTTTACCTTAAAAGTACTCGGTTCTCGTCATTCCATTTTCCAGGAGCCGACTTTGCCATGAAAACTGTCTCTGCTCCGAATCCCGACGAGATGATAATTTTGAGGTTGGGAATCCATGTTGTATCTCGTTCCTTATTGCGATATTCCTCTTGCATCGACCTTATAACGTTCCAAAGCGGCATTTCGTCGGCATAAGAGCCGTCGGCTTCGTCGACGATGAGCAGCCTTTTCGGGCCGCCAGGCTCGAAAAGATCGTTGAAGGCCCCCTCTAGGAACTAGCGCAAGTTAGTGGTCGTAGCTGACGAAAAAATCACTGACATACTTGAGTACTTGGCCACGAACTGCTCGTCGAAGTTTAAATGGATTGAAGCCAAGCTGATGAAGTAGACGTGTTTCCAACGCGGGGAACGTCTTGCCGCCGCGTCCGCGAGCTGAAGCAGAGAAGTTTTCCCACTCTGTGGAGGTGCTCGCATCTGGACAGTCCCTACTGTGTCAACAAGCCGTAGTAGCTTGTTCACAGTATGTGTTCTAGGCGAATAAAAGCTCCGTTGCAACCGTTCACCTAAGCCTTCGGTAGTTGATCCATAGTCGTGAACTGCAAGCACGAAGAGGTTTTCCCTATGCACAAGTTGCTGAAACAAATCTCACCGTCCGGCAACTGAATTCTTCGTTTCGGAGGCGCTGTCAGGACACAACATCACGGTTACACGCCTGATCACATAAAAAATCACGAGGCTTGCCTGTACTGAAGTGAACTTCGTCAGAGTTGGTTGCCTCCATCCCTGTTAGGGTTGTGGCGGGAAAGAAAAATAAAAACGTAAAAACGAAAAAAGAAAAAGGAGAAGAGAACGAGTCTCTGATGCAATCAACGAATACATTTCTATTTGTTTTACCTTTAGACAAATGTGCGTTTTTTTACGCATGAATATTTTTATGTAGTCAGAACGAATGGTTGGACATCCTGTTCTTCCCGCACTCCCATCACAGATCTGCAAATAAAATGTTGAGTGAGCAAAACAAAAAGGCTGCCGTCTACCTTGCTCTAGATGCTGCATACAGTCTCTCATTAGATGCGTGGATTTCCGCAAACATGCGGTGGAAGCTTTGCGTCTTGCGCTTTCCACTTGTAGCTCGCAAGAAATGATCTTTGTTCCACACTTTTTGCATCTCAGCAAACCTTGACAAGACCAGTCAGTGAGTTTTTAAGAGAAAACACTACAACCAACCTGGCCACACGGTCAATCTTCCCTCGCCGGACAACCGCCTTCTTGCTGGCAGCACCAAACGATCCATCTGAAAGGCAAGGAGAATGGCTCTTTATGTCACTTGCACGACGCTCTGCAGACACGGAAAATCACGAGGGTGGTGAAACCTGCCTAAGAATAAAAAAATAGACTCACGGAATGCAGGGCTCGGGCTATTTTGAATTCTATCGTCTGACACTCTTTCGATAAATGTGCGTGGAGTAGAATTGATTGAGTCTTCACCATCTGTCTCGTGCTTCTTCATGGAGAAATGCCTGAACTCTGGCGTTCCCGAGTCTCGCAAGAGCTGACAAGCAGCGCAGTTTGATCGATTGGTGCCTCCAGACAAAGGTCTCTCTTCCGTTGCTACATGTTTGCAAGCGCTATAAGCAACTGAAATAAAAGAGGAACCAACAATAGTACCTGCATGAGACTCAGTGACAGTCCTGGCAAAGCAATCATCCTCAGAGACTGGAGCAGCGGCTGGAAGCTTGGATGCTCTTGGATGAAACAGATTGTGCGATCTGACAACCCCCAGGTTGAGAGGCTTGAGATTGATCCCAAAGTTCTCAATAGCTTCCTCAACTTCCAGCGAACTTATCGAGTGGTCAACCTCCGACGTGCTCCCATCTTTGCCACTGGCACGTTTGCTCGAGCTATATTCCGAGCTCTCTTCATGGTAAACTCTACGGGAACCACCACCACCTTTGGAATTCCGATGACTTGAGCTGTAGTCCGAGCTCTCCTCCTGGTAGCGACGACGGTGGTGGTGGCGATCATGCTGGTAATCGTCACGCTCTCGGTAGTGTCTCGCCGACAAAGACCTTACTCGGTCACGATCCGAAAAAAGATCTTCGGATGGTTCCTGCTGCAGCACTGGACACGATACAGGCCTCTGGCGCTCCTTGAGCTGTTCTAAGATCTCCCCAGGATACAAGTACTCGTCCACCACCGGAGAGGCCTTGGACGCAAAGTCAAACGTGGACGATACCACATTGTCGCACGGCTGAAGAACATGCCGCGACGATCCACCACCAATTTGCTGTGCTTGCGAGGCGTGATCCCTGTGAGAAATCTCTCGATTCTCCTTGCTGGAGTCGGAGTCCGAGGCCGAGAGGCCCACATTGCAACGAGGCGGAGTGCTCGGCCTGGAAGAAGAGGCGCTGCTGGATTTCGCAAGGAGCTGCTCCTGGAGTTGGAGTTCCCGGCTGTCCTCGAATCTAACATTGCGATGCGAGAACCTGTGCTGCTGATTCATACCTTCTTGCTCCCAAGGAGAGCTATCCCGAGTGTTCTTGGGGACGTCCTCATCGAAATCCTGATCAAGATAGCTCGATGCCGGCCGGGAGGGATCGAAAGGGCTGCGATCTTCGCTCTTGAAGCAATTGGGGACAGTGATCTGGAGCTGCGACAAGAAGGCGAGAATGACATGATCGGGAACATCGTCGTGGCCGAGAGCGTGTAGCTCCGATCGAAGCTCCGGGAGCGTGAAGAAGGCCGCCATCGCCGAATGGAACCCTAAAATAACACACACTGCGAGAGAAAGAAAGAAGAAACTAGGAAAGAGAGACAACAGACAGTTTGGACGTTGAGGACAAATCTTGACCGTAACTTTTTTAAACTCTTCAAAAACATGTGGATACATCTGGGCCGTTCATGCGCAACGATGGAGATGGATTCTCGTGTTCTTCGAGAAGAAAAATCCAGTTCCTGTGGAGTTGGAACTGGATAAAAGTCATGTAAGAATGGGAACAAAATCACGAGAAGAATCAAATCAAACCTTTTAACTAATGGCGACGCAAGGAGGAGAGCTTTTGTCCGGTTGAAAAGCAGCGTTGTTGCATTGTTGCTCGATCTTGTCAGCCGGCGCCTTGAAACCATCCTTGAAATCCATTGCCACATGGTTTTGCTGCTGCTGCTGCTCGTCAAGCGCTTCATCTAGAGTCATCTCCTTCCGCTTCTCGTCCCTCGCAGCTCGCAGAGTCTCCAGCAAACTCTCCAAAGCATCGGTCGGGAACTTCTTCTTCTTGATCAGGATCTCGCTCACCTCCGCCGGCGTCACCTTGGACTCCTCGAGCACCAGCTCCAGATCATCGTAGAGCTCGTGATCACGAATTCCAAGATAGTTGGTCGCCAAGATCTTGAGCGCCGGGAAAGTGCAGTGGGACATGAAGATGTGCATGTCCATCCGACCCGAACGGAGGAGAGCCGGATCCAGCTTGTCAATGTGGTTGGTCGTGAAGATAATGATTCGCTCGCTCCCGCAGCAAGACCACAGGCCATCCGTGAAGTTGAGCAGTCCGGAGAGAGTAACCCGGCTGGGCTCGTCGTCCATCTTGGCGGGCATGAGCGACGGCGGCGGCTCTCCAATCTTCTTCTCCTTGAGCTTCTTGCGATCGGACAAGTTGAGGGAGCAGTCGATGTCCTCGATCACGATAATTGACCTGTTGGTCGTCTTGATGAGCAGCTTCCGCAAGTCGGCGTTGCTCGCCACCTCGGTCAGCTCCATGTCGTAGACGTCGTATCCCGTGAAGTTTGCAATGGCCGCGATCATGCTCGACTTGCCCGTCCCCGGCGGCCCGTAGAGAAGATATCCCCGCTTCCAGGCTCGACCAACGCGCTGGTAGAAGTGCTCGCCCTTCATGAACTCGGTTAGGTCCTCCATGATCTCCTGCTTCTTCACGGGGTCCATGGCCAGCGTCGAGAACGTCGAGGGGTGCTTGAAAGGCACGCTCTCCCACGGCTGGCGGTGGAAGTTGTACGAGTTCTTGGCGTTGGTGTAGAGCAGCTTGTCCCGGTTTCCGTGCTGGAGCTCCTTGGCGTGCTCGATGATGTGCTCGAGATAAGCTGACAGCACTCGCTCCCGGTCCTGCTTCTTGATCTTGAGAGAGTAGTATCTGCGCTCGTCGGGGCTGCGCTCCCAGAGGCTAAACTGCGCGGGGCGCTCCGTGATAATGTGCTGCCACATCACCTGAGCGCCGCGGAACGTTTCCGTGACGCTCTCGCTCCTGGCCAGCCCGAAGGTGATCTTGTTGGAGTTTTTGGGACGGGAGAGCGTCGCGCGCTGAGCTGCGGTGGAGGCGGAGGAGCTGAGGTGCAACTGGACGCAGCTGTAGAGCTCGTTCGAGTTCATGCCGTCGAACTCGTATATGTCGAAGTAGTTGTAGAAGGAGAGGTACTCGAAGAGAAAGCGGCCACACTTGCTGAGCATGTATCTGAATTCCGGAGGCATCACCCCCTGGAGGAATGCCAAGAGTCCCAGCAGCGATCCCATGTAAGTCAGCAGCTCCATCTTCGACTCAGCTCGATCGAGCTTCTCAGCTGGAAGGAATGGCAGCAGCAGCAGCTCTCAAAAACTGTGCTCGCCGGAGATCACCAAGGCAATATGCTGCTGCTGCTGCGACTGGTGCTGCGCTTGCTCGTGAACTCGATCGTCGCCATCGTTGTAGAAAAAGATATGAGCTGATGAAACTGCCTCCCAGCGAGAAACCATCCAGCCAGCCAGTGGCAGGGCCAGAGGAGCTAAGCCAGAGAGAGAGAGCCAGAATTAATATAGAGAAGTGTAGTGACAGCTAGCTACAACTCCCTTAGCGGATATGATTTGCGTTTCTGGCCAGGCAACAGAGATGCACTGAAATGACTTAGGAGCAACCGTAGCAGTGGCAGTAGCGCTCAGAGCTCGCGAGTTCTACGCGGCTGGAAGAACACACACAAACAAACAAGCAAAAAGATAAAGAAAAACACTCAAGGAGAAAGAATGATAAGCTCTCAGCTCGAATCAAACAAGACAAGAAAGACAGCTCTCGCTTCCATAATGTCAAGCACAAGCTCTGTTCGTGTGAAGTGAGAGCTATCCTGATTACTTATAAGTTGGAAGAAAAAGCTAGGCGCAGCTCAGCTCTCACTCAACCCTGCGGAGAGAATCAATCGTCGGCATGCTGCCGCTGATTCGCGACCAGCACAAAAAACAAACCCAGGCAGGATGATGTTTGTGCAATTAAGAAGAATCAAAGTGGTCCTTCCCCTGCTCGCAGGCGAAGCAACGAACGAACAAACGAACTAAAAACGACGTCAAGGAGGGGAGCAAAGGAGACTAAAGACGATGGAAGACAAAAAACTCTGAGCGAGAAAAGGAAAGGTGTAGAAATTGACCCAAAACAAGAAGTTCCAGGTGCGGCAGAGCTCATTCACTATGATGAAGGGATAGCGAAAACTCTCGAGAGCGACCGACCACGCAATCAAGGATCACGGAAAAACATGCAAGCGTAGCAGCCAAAAATCTCTAACAGCTTGACAACGAACCGAAACTAAACACACGCACCCCTTCCCTAACAAACAAGCCAAATTTTCACCCCTCTCACAGACAAAGAATCGAATCGACAAGCAGCAGCAGCAGCAGCAGCCTCAGCGAATTCTCCCCGGCAAGAGCTGCAATGCGATGCGACGCTATCTACCGACTCTCTAGAAAGAAAGGCCAAAGAGAAATCCATCGCTACAGAGAACCTTGCTCGAATCGATGCCAATGCCGGGGAGAGATGGAGTGCGCCGTGGCTGCGTCGCCTGGTCGATCTGGATCATCACCATGCCCGCCGCGAAAACAAATGAGGCATTTGGCGCGTGACGACCCTTCACCGCTATAAGGGCAAAAGAAAGATTTCCTGCGATAGAGACGACGAGGTAAAAACCTCTTGTCACCGGGCCTACGTGGCGCGGTCAACTAGAGTTAATGCGGGCGGTAAAAACTTCAGCTTTAGCGTACGTAGCCGTCACTGGGGCACGGGCATTCAAGTAGTGTGTGATGGTCGGCTGTGTGACGGGCAGCTTTGTTGAGAGTTTACCCGGCAATGAGACACCACTTGTCACTGGTCACGTTTATTTACCCCCTTCCCTCTCTCTTGGGGACAAATAAACCCCAGCACCGTACCGAGCTTGGATTCCATGGCCAGTAATGCCCATTGGGCCGTGGTCTCCTCAGCACAGGGGCCGTAGTACAAATCGAAGTGTTTAAGCAGAGGGTGGTGTGTTCGCCCAAAACAAAAAATTTCCGCCACCACTTGCTGAAAGTGAGCGAGCAATTCTGCTTGTGATTGATTTACTCTGATTGATTGATTGATTGATGGACTCTTCCTGTCCACTGCAAGCCAACGAAACAAAACAAAACAAAAAGCAAAGCACTTGCAATGGTGGCGGGCGATGGTGGAAAGCTCTTGAATAGAAACCCCTGACCTTTCACTTGCCACAATATAAAACGAGGAAAAACTATACCACAAGCTTGTTTTCTATTGTATCGTAAAGAGGAACCTTTAGACTTCCAGCCAAAAAGCTTCTGAGTGGATCTTATTCCTGTGCCGTCCCTGAGAACGGAAGAATCGAGCATTAGAAACTCTAGAAAGGAAATCCTATGAAGAAACCACAAATCCATACCTGGATCGGATCTTATTCCTGTGCCGTCTCTGAGAAAGGAAGAATCGAGTATTAGAAACTCTAGAAACAAAATCCTACGAATCCATACCTTGATTGACACTAGACGAGCGTGCTGTCGCTGCAATCCTTCTGCTTGAGCTTGAGCTCAGCTTCCACACGCTTCTGAGCCCGTTTCGCTCGTCGTCCAACGCTCACGCTTTCTTTCACGACGTCTTTTCCCTTGCCACCGCCTGAAGCACTTCCTTCACCGGCTGTCACCTGACGAACACTTACTGGGCGTGCTTCCTTTCTCCCACCACGAACATAGCCACTGTCACCCCACCGCCTGTTACCCAGCCGGACGTTCGAAGTGTAGTAATACTCTTCTTCGTAAAGCTCATCCTCGTCCTGGTAATCCTCAACGTCTTCTGGCTCTTGAGCGGCTGCAGGAGGGAGAGGCTTGAACCAGGTGGACCTCAGCAGAAGACAAACGCTCTCTTCAACCATGAAGTCACTCATCCTGTGATAGAAGAGAGTATACCACCATGAAAAAGAAAATCACAAACTGTACCTTCCATCAAGTGTCTTGCAGACAAACAAAGAAGAAAATGGAAGCTTGCACTGAGGACACCATGGACTTTCCTTGTAGGAAGCCCATCTCAGGATGCAGTTCGCACTGCAAACAGAAAAGAAGAAGAGCTAGGATAATTAGCGTTGTATCAAAATGCATGCTTAAAGTACCAGTAAGCATGGTCGCAGCCTTTGATTTGTGCCGTGTCTTCCACTCGTATCTTCTCCAGACAGATTGCACAGAGCCACGACGGCGAAAAACCATGCTTCAAGGCAGACGAGCCTTCGGCAGCAATCTCGCAGGCGGCCTCAATCTTCTCTTCTTTGCAGGCGGCCTCGGGACGTTCCATAACAAACTCCGAGAAGTCGGCAACTTTCACGGACCAGAGTTGTGCCGTTACAGCTTCAATGTCTTCCAGTCTTCCGGCTTCATCAGCAGCAGCAGCAGCAGAGCTTGCCATTGAGCAGTCCATCTCACGCTTTCGGTGGTCACCAGAAACACGAAGAACAAGAAAAAAAAAAACTACAAGCTAGCTTCCCTTAACTAAATGATACCAGCCTCCACCTTTGTCTCTGGAGTATCGAGAGCAGCAATAGCCAAAATGGCTGCGAGTTTCACACAGACTTAACCGCCCTCTACACCGGACCCGGGAAGGACCAGGCAATTCAAGCCAGACCACAGGGGCGAGGTAAAAACCATGGCGAGGAAACGACGCACAAGTGCGCATGGCAGGCACTCAAAAATGACACATATCTCAGATGGAAAACAAAATCCCCTTTGCTGTGAGGAACCAGCTTGAATGACTCGAAAAATGATGATGCAATCAAAGGCGCAGGCACGGCAAAGATGAAAAACACGATGCGCAGTACCCTTTCAATCCTTCGGCAGTGGCAGGAAAATCGACAAAAAGAAGAAGTCGAGAGGCGCGGCGGACGAAATCGCTCAACAACAGCGCTGCCACAAGAAAAAGGTTGGATTTTGCTATCGTAGAGCGATCTTACCTGCTGTGCTCGCTCGCAAACCCTTGGCTATGGCGAATTTAGGGCTCCTCTGCTTAAGGCGATACGAATATCCGTGGGATAAGATACCATGGAAAGAAGTTTAGGGCTTAGGGTTTTTGGATGGGAGAGGAGGATGAAATGCTGCTGGGGAGCGTGCACGAATCGGTAATGCGCCCATCCCAGGTGCTTACAGGTCGTGCAGACGAGGTTCTAGGCTACGATTTCAATGGTGGCGTCGTCTACGGTGATCTCCTCGCGTCGATGGCTCGGACTGGATTCCAAGCATCGCTTCTCGGTCGCGCGATCTCTACTGTCAACGACATGGTAATATTTATTCTCGCGAAGTTTTGAAGGAAATTCCTGTTTCGTTAGCTAGATTGGCGGCTGAGCATGGAGCCAGTGGCAGAGGATGCGACGGAGGAAGAGCGAAAGCCCTCTTTTCGAGAGAGTGTGAAGTGTAAGATCTTTCTGGGCTTCACATCGAATCTCATCTCCTCGGGTGTTCGAGAGAGCATTCGTTTTCTCGTAGAGCACCGCATGGTAAAAGCTTTCTCTTTTCGTTTTCTCTATCAACTGTATCAATGGTGGTGATCTTCGTAGGTGGATGTTTTGGTGACCACTGCCGGAGGAATCGAGGAGGATTTGATCAAATGCCTCTGCCCGACTTATATGGGAGACTTTGCATTGCCTGGTGCTCAGCTTCGCTCCAAAGGATTGAATCGCATCGGGAACTTGCTGGTCCCCAACGAGAATTACTGCAAGTTTGAAGACTGGGTGGTGCCTGTACTCGATCAACTTCTCGTCGAGCAGACACAGCAGGTACTAGAACTTCCATTCCAGCTTCCTGGTAACAACACGGTTAATCTCCTCAGCTTTACTCTGAAAGGGAATCGTCTGGACGCCATCAAAAGTGATCGCGAGACTTGGGAGAGAGATCAACCATCCTTCTTCCGTTTGCTACTGGGCTCAAAAGGTAAACTAGCTCTTCCAAAACTCATCTTTGTGACTCGTCAACTGGCTTACAGAATGGTATTCCAATCTACTGCCCTGCTCTCACCGACGGCTCTTTAGGTGATATGATTTACTTCCAATCCTTTCGGAATCCAGGGCTAGTGATTGATATAGTCCAAGGTAAAAAAGATTCAATGTTCATTGACCTCCACTTCACTCTCGCGTAGATATACGAGGCATGAACAATGAGGCTGTTCGTGCGGGCCTCAGTAAGACTGGGATCATCGTCCTCGGCGGCGGAGTTCCAAAGCATCACATATGCAACGCCAACATGATGAGAAACGGTGCTGATTTCTCCGTCTTTATCAACACAGCTCAGGAGTTTGACGGTAGCGACTCTGGTGCCAGGCCGGACGAAGCCATCTCCTGGGGAAAAATTCGCGGAGACTCGGATCCTGTCAAGGTAACCAAACAAGTTTCTCTCTTGATCCCCTCCAACCATTCTTTTTTCTTCGAACAACAGGTTCACTGCGATGCAACAATTGCGTTTCCTTTGCTCGTGGCCGAGACATTTGCCAAAAGATTTCACAATTAGAAGGAAGATTGAAAAAAAAGGGAGGTAACTCGTTTCTATCTAACTGGTAAACTTTTAACTCATGCTCTAGCCTCCCTGGAGCGCTTGGTGACGAAGCCAGCCAGTGCTCGAAGGAAATTGCCTGTCTCCTCGGTATCGTAGATGAAGAAGCCATGCTTAGCTTTCTCATAGTCGAGAAGCTCCACCTCCTTTTTGGTCTTCCTCAACGAAGCGACGTACTCAAACTGCCTATCGTGCATCCAGTCTACTCCTCCCAGCACCACCAGAGCCGGAGGCAGAGGAACCTTTGCCAGCTCCATAACAGCCGCCGGGAGATTGCAATACGGATGAGACATGTCGGAGCCTTTGGGAAGAGCCAGTCTCCACAACCAGTCGTTGGTCTGGAAGGAGAATGATCCGTTCTTAGCACCCACAACCTCCGAGCGCAGCCTGTCCGGGCCCCCTGTCATCGGCTGCACCAAAATCTGTCCTCTGATCGCCAGCGGCTCCAAGTCACTCGAAGAAGCTCGCACTGAAAGATGGTGGACGATGTTGGCTCCGGCACTGTCGCCCATAAGGAAGATCTTGCCAAAGTCCGCGTACGTCGCCAGCCACGGGTCGACGAGCTCGTTTCCAGCGGTGGCCTGAGTCTTCAACCAGCTCAGAGCCGTGAAGGCGTCGTCGTAGGCAGCAGGAAGACGATTCTCTGGGATCAGCCTGTAGTCCACCGACACCACCACCGCATTTGTCTTTCTGGCGACCTTCTCGCAGTACTGGTGGTAGAAAGCGATGTCGGGGCTGAGGATCACAAAGGCACCGCCGTGGAAGTAGAGGATCACTGGGACTTTCTTGAAAGCTTTGTCATCGCGGACGAGGCTGGCCTTCTCGGGGAGGAACACCCGGGCCCAGATGGAGGGACTGTCGCTTATGACCACGTCCCTGGAAGCTACGCCATCCACAAAGTTGGGATTGGCTTGGAGGTGAGGGAACGGCATCGTCGAGGGCCGGATCACTGTCTCGTCTTGGGTGTCGATCAAAAGCCCGAACAGCCCCTTGAGCTTGATTACCCGGGACGACGACTCGGGAGGAGATTCATCCATCACTACCAACTGAAGAAAATAAAAAAGAGGAGAGATCAAACTAGCTAGATGGGTTGGAGGAATGTCGCCATACCTTGCTCGTTGTCGCGCAGAAGACTCCAGGCCACGCCAAGAAAATGAGACCCTTTACAGTAACTACCTCGTAAAGCCTAAAAACACAACATTAACGATTCAAACAGATCATACCAAATGAATGAAAAAGAAGATCCAACCCACCCGTCGTTCATGGCTCACTAGAAGTGTTCTCTAGCGAAGAACGTCTTCTTGAAACTCTTCCGTAGTGTCAAAGTCCGCACAATCAAGCTATCGGCGAGAGAAGTTTTTTGCTTGACCAAGCTCTTCTCCCACGTTAGCTTCATCCCACCTTTGAGGATGCCAGCGGGAAGGCCGCGGTGCAGCAGCTCGATCTTAAACTGAGCAACTTCGTCCGGACTTCGCTTGAATGCAGCAACGACACCATTGAGCGGAATTGCTCCGAATCCTAAAGAATGCTATCCAATCATCCTGAAGAATGGGACGGGGCTGGCCTTACCAAGAGTGTCGTTAGTCGAAGTGAAGTCATAGTCAAGAACATGGCACATCAAATATTCGTGCTCCAGCCGGTGAAGGGAGCTTGCAGTGACAACTAGCTTAGGCAGGTCCTTGGCAGATGCAAATACGAGTTGTAGTCATTGAAAGAATCAGCTAGAGGAAAAGCTACCTTCGCAGGATCCCATACTGGATTCAGTGTTCGATATTTGACTTTGGAGTGAAACTCGCTCACCAGGTTTGCACCTCCAAAAGACACGTACCTGGGAGAAGTTGAGTGAAAGAAGCAACACCACTTACGGGTCTGAAAAACCGTTTATATCTGACGACCGCAATCCTTGAGCCTCCAGTGAAGTAAGCTGGCACGAAAGCACCAAGCTCGGTACGTCTAACGCGTTAAATGAAACTTACAAGTATGTGCCATTTTCTCCCGTCAGCATCGAAGTTCAAGCAAGGAAGCGCATATGCTGTAAGTGACACGGTTGCCCCCACTGGCTTGTGATCACTACCATGAGTTTATCAGTTTTAGTGTCTGGAATGTTAACGTATGAAGAGGTACCTAGTACAGATTTCAGGCGCTGAAAAATAAGAAGTTGGTCTCATGTAGCACCCATCAAATGACCGGCACAAAATACGATCGCACCATGCTGGGAGACGTTTCTCATTGTATGAAGATAAAGTGTCCCGAATCATCTGCAATAAACGTGATAAGAAGCCTAGTTTTCGGATAAGCATCTATACCTTGAATGTTGGAGCAAAACCAATGTTCCCTTCCTTGAATCCATGAAAAGCCCTTGACGCTGCAATCTCTCTTGTCAACTGAGATAATCACAATATGAAGTCCAAGGACATGTGAAACAAACAAAACCTCGTCGTGATCCAAGAGCTCCTTGTAATTGCCAGCATTGATTTGATCGACAACATTTTGCCAGACGCCTTTCCTGCTCCAAAACGTCAAAATAAGCATTACCATGTTCATTACTCACTCCGGTGAAACTGTTCTCTCTTCGACATTTTCAAAATCTAGACGATAGTTCAAATCCCCCATCCAGAAAACATGATGAAATTTACTTAAAATGTCCATTCCTTGATAGCCAATGCTCAGATTCTCGACAATCTCTGCAGATCAGAATTTCAGTTACATTATAGTATATAAATTAGCGTCCTACTGAACCTCGGTAATTGCCGTTTCGCACGTCACAATATCCCATGTGTGCAGCTAGATGTGAGTTTACAAAGCACAAATCCGTATCCCAAAACTGAAAGAACGAGCACAGGATCATTCACAGACCAAAATATAAGGAATTGTTACCTTAAAAGCAATGCATACCGCGCCTTTATTTGCCACGACATGGCCCACTCCTGTGGCTTCACTTCCACTATCCATCTCCGATATGGCTTTCTGCACAGCGAATCTAGAACACTTGTGTAGAAAACAAAAAGTTACCTCGGCATCATCTCGCACAAACGCCGCCAAACGGATCTGGCTTCGTGACACAGCACAAACAAGTTTGTATCTTTGGCCTATGCAAGACCTGCATGTAACTGCAAATTCTTTCAGAGAAAAAATAAAATCCTACATTACGCGCATGTTAAGCACAACATACTTTACACTGTTTATCCAGTCTTTGGCACAGTCCGAGAAAGGTGGTCGAGGCGGATAATCGCATTCCTTGAAATAAATAATGGCGTTATGCAGTCCTCAGGAACATACAAAGACTTTTCTACCTGCGCACCAATAACTAGCAGCTCGTGCTCGCTCTTTGTAGGAAGCCACGATGACAAATCCACAGCCTGAGCTGCCAAAGATCAGCAAATTGGCCCAGAATTATAGCTGACATACCGGTCTTGCGTTTCCTACATTCCATGTACCCAAGAAAACACTGATATCATGCTCCGGTTCAGCTATTCCTGCAACTATGTCCATTAAAACCTGCAAATACACGACAACAACGAACATTTTTAAAAGTCAAGCAAACAGACTGATCACCTTCCCCGGCATTAGTCTCTTCCCAGTCTTTGAAAAAAGATCATACCACTTGGTTTTTCCATCTTGACCACCTGAAATGAAACAGAGCAATAAGGTGGCACAAGGAGAAAAGATCAGACCTCCCTTTTTATCGAGAAGATCAGCAACACGAACTTCCGTAGAAATCCCAAGCGAGTCTTCTCCACCAAAACGTGTCTTAGAAACAACGTGTAACAGCAGAACTGCATTCTGTCCAACCACCCAAACTCGTCAGTAGGAAAATACTTGCAAAGCTGCAAAAATTGTACATTTGGATCCTTGATGTCAAAAGTGAAGCTCTGGTTAACTTTAACGGATCCATCTTGCTCGATCGCTCCGACCCGAATCTGAGAGAAGCCCAAGACAGAGAAGCGGTCAGGTAGCAGAGGAAAGAAAAAAGAGGAAATGTTGCTCGCGAATGTGGGACAAGACCTGTTTCTCTTGCCTGACCGCACCTGGCGATCCACTCCAGCGTAGCAACCTAGTCCACGCTATTATGATCAAGTGAATCACACATTCTTTTCTGTGCATTCGACGAAATACCTCTCAAACGGACAACTACACAAGCTCGCTAAAGTGTTCTCAGACGCTGGGGATATCTATGGCAAACCAAGCTCTCAGATCTCACTGGGATTTAAGCTTGTGTACCTGCTTAGAATGTCTCGACTGGTTCTCCACTTTTAGCTTGAGTCCAGCCACCTTGACGTCGACATCGCGTACTCTTCTTTTGAGATTTTTGACGGCGACAATGTTTACTCTGATACGACACGCCCTGGGAAGCACATTCTGCCAAACACACAAATCCAAAACCATGTAAAACTCCTCCTAGGATTTCTCTAGGATTTTACCTCGCTCGTAGACACTTCTTGAGCCTCTTGGCTTGCAGCGAGCTCCATCTTGGATTTTCCAAACGCAAGCGCGGAGAATTTTGGAACGCACTTGACATCGGCATCGAGCTCTTCGGGCAGGCTCCGCTTGGGATAGTAAATTCCGGTGTGGGAGAAGGAGCGGAATCCCTTCTTTGGCAAATTTCTCGATACCTGCTCCAGTGCCTTGGGAAGCGACGGAAATCTGCGAGGAGAGCATGGCACAGGCACAGATGCCTGCGGAATATCGTCCTCCGCGATGCAATCCAGCGGCATTGTCGCTCTACTACCTTGCAACACCGATTCAGACGAGCGATCCATCTTATTGAGCTCAGTGCGCGATCACAAGCACATCCATTGCCATCACCTCAGACATCAGCGCTGAATCGCAGGGGAAAAGCGCCAAGGACCACCGACAATGACGCTCGATCGCGACAAAGGCGCCAATGCAGGCGTCCAAGTCGATGTCGAGAAATATTTGCCCTAGGCTAGGGAACAAGAGGGACCGTCGATTCTGACCCATTCGTTCGTACGCCATGGTGTGGCATGGCCTTTTTTGTCGTACTCCATCCAAAGCTCTTTAAAATTGTTCTTCCACTCACTTGACCATGAGTTGTTCTTAACGCACGTTCTATGGTCTTGTCCAAATTATTCGAATCGATTCTTCCTTTTGATCAAGCCCCACAGCTGCGTGACACGATCGCAAAGTAGAAGAGACGAAACCAACAAACCAATCGCTTGACACGATGTCGATTGATCCTTGCTCCACGAAGATGATCTCTTCGTCGTCGATCTCACTAAGAATTCGCACGAATCTTGCTTTGCTACTCCACGAAGATGATCTCTTCATCATCGTCGTCAAAGTCACTGTCTTCGTCGTCGGAGCGGTCGGGGATAGTTTCGCCGCGCTCTTTTCTCTCCGCTTCCTCTTTCAGTCTATCCAGGAGTTTAATCACCTGCAAACCAAGCACTTGATAAGCGCGAGAGAGCGTGGAAGTTTTGTAACGTACCCTGGCACCCCTCTCGAACGAATCGTCCGCGATGAAACGAACCTCGGGAGTTAGCCTCAGCTTCATGCGTTTCCCGAGCTGCATTCGCACGTATTTCTCTCGAGACTTGAGACCTTCTATCGCAATCTCTTTGCCTCGCTCGTCGCCAAACACGGAGATATAGATCTTGGCCACCTGACGAGAACCGTTCGTAAGAAAACCGAAAACTATGAGTCGGCCAAGATACTCAAAGAAACAAAACAAAAAGGAAGCGCTCAAGCCCAAAGGAAACAATGAAGACAAGGTTGAAAGAGGAAAAACTGGAAGAGTGGAAGAGTAAAAACTTGGAAAGAAGTCCGGCTAGAAAGCATTGAAAAAAATGTGAGAACTTACTTGCAAGTCCCGCGAGATTTCTACATCACTGATAGTCGTCACGGAGGAGAGATACAGGTCAGCACCGAGAGCCGCTTCCGGAAGAATGGCTTGCATCAAAACTTTGTCTTTGATGAGCATCTCCCCGACCTCCCTTCTAATCTGCTGTGCTACCATTTTAATTCTCCTGGGATGAGCCATGCACACCGTGCTCAATCCATTCCTCCTCCTCGCCAAGCCCAACGAGCCACCAAATGCCGGCCGAGACGAAGAAGCTGGAAATCCACACCGTTGCTGTGCGAGAGAGGAGCGCTCTACCTGGAAATGCCGGCCCAAGCTCGCGCATTGCAAAATCTCCGCCATTGGAATCGCGAATGGCGCTCAGCACTATGCCATTGATATCTTTTATTTAGGGTTCTTGGGGATCGATATTTCTAGGGCTTTGAGCGAGGAGAAGGCGCCATGAACGCGGACAAGATTCGTCGCGTGAGGGAAAAGCAGCGCTACCTCCAGAGCGTGGACAAGCTGGTGCATTTGAAGATGCCATACGATCGCATCTTTGCGGTCTTCATCCCGGGCGCTCTCATGCTCTTCACGGGATTCTACACGGTATGCCCCTCTTTTCTCTCAGATTTCGCCCTTATTTCTCGATATCCAGGCGCGCGGAATCTACGATCTTGCTCACGGCACTGGAAAGATAGAAGGGTAGCGGAGGAGCAGCCAGCAATGGCTGTTCCTTTCGACCTCTTTGAACAATGTTTAATAAGTCCTTTTGTGTTCTTGCTTTTTTCTAAGATGTCACTCTTTTGCTGTGATTGCTGCTTGTTTCATCCTTTCTAGCGCATCTTTGCAGTGCTGTAGCAAGTTTTGAGGATCTGGTATGATGTCTTTGGCGGCAGTGGCCACTAGTTTTACTTTTCCAGCGTAGCTTTGGAGATGCATGAAGAGTGACTGATAAAAAAAAAAAAAAACATGGTTTAGTCGATCCTCGTCAAAGAGAGCTTACCTGAGGCTGTCCGACGACTGTAGGAACGATGCTGGTGATTGGGTTGCCGTCGAGCATCATCGGTTCGAGAGGTCCCACGACGTTTGAGATCGAGAAAGTTGTATTTGCTAGCGTTTTGTATGTGACATCCGCTGTGATCTGCGAGTGACATAACTTGAATCTTGCAGGACGACGAAGACATACGACTGACCTTTGGTCCACAAAGTTTCATCGTCAAGGAGCCGGCTGCATAGGTAAATGGAGCCTCTAGTGATAGCTTTTTCCTAGTGCTGATTTTCTTTGCAGACCGGACATGCTCGAGTGGATCAGTGTGCTCTTTCAGTGGAATGGGAATGACCAAATAACCAATCTGGTTTCCCCAGCGTGCTTTGGATGATCCCTCCATCATGTCTGCTATCTCCTGTGACAACAACGAAAAAAACACGGTGAGGGCCATGCTTGAAAGAATTCTACACTTGCCTGTAAGCCTGGGGATTTTCTTATGTTTACTAATGCCGTTGCATGCATGCGATGGCTTTCAAAAGTTTGTTTTGGCGATTTTTCACGCAGGTAGCTCGCGATCCCTGCTGAAACAAATCCGAGCATGACGTCGTTGATCGTCTGCGACAAGGAAAAAGAATCCAACATCCAAGTCAGTCAGAGGGTGTTCAGGTAACGTACCCCATTCACAGCTTTCTTTACAGTTTTCATGTCGTCCAGTGATATCTCCGTGGATGCAATTCTTTTAGGCATGCGCTCGACTCCAGGAGACCCTTTAATTGGCGTGGAACTGTCCTTGGAGAACAAAGTGACTGCTGCAAATCTCCCAACCTCGGTTACTGTGTACCACAGCGTAGCAAGCACTGTCCAGAGGACAAACCAGAGTCCCGCGAAGAACCCTTTCGGGTGCTGCTTTCGAGGTGGGAGTGGCATGCTTGGCAGATTTTCTGGATCGCTCACACTTCTGAGTGTTGCTACAAGCAGGGAAACCAGAGAGATGCCGTCGCCGAGCGAGTGGTGGACTCTTAGAATGCAACTGGCAGCTGAATCCGACGACGGGACGTTGAGTATGTGGACCTCCCAGAGTGGCTTTCTTGGATCGAGCGGTGGAGCGACGGCCAGAGCAGCGGCATAGTCCTCAACCGGCGAAGCAGACTTCTGGGCCTCTGGTAAGAGATTTGCAACAATGACGTGCTCCTCTATGTTGACTCGAGTTTAACCCATTTCTCGCGTCCAGAGCCATCGAGTTGCTGTGAACCCAAGAAAGAGAGGCGTTAAGAGATTGAAGCGAGGGAAGATGAACATACCATGATGCTACTGAATCTTTTGTGCTTGGCAAAGGTTTGGAGGAGCTTGCTCTTGATTCCAGGGACGCTGACTGTGTCTTGGAAGCCGATGATGCAGAGAATGGTGCAATGAAGTCGAGGCTGGATGAGCATTCTTCCAACGGGACTCACTGGCTCTTCATTCTCCGGATCCTCCGCCATGGAATTTTGGTTCTCTTGCAAAGGAGGAGACAATTTCTTGGATCGAATTCGCAGTCCCATAGCTAAAGGGCAAACAAGGGTTTCACACCCTCGAAAGTTGACTAGATTAATTTACCATACGACCTTAATATCGTAGACCATAGTGGATATCCAGAGCATATAATGGACTCATTTATATAATTAACTAGCAGGAAATCCAGCTCTGCTGGTATAGATAGGACATCTATTACATTGGTGACATGAATCTTAGAGAATTTCTTTGTAAACAATGTTTTTCATATAGACATTATGGTTCTGGAGCACACCTTCTCCTTCACACTGTTCAATAGACATTGTAATTTGTTTCTTTGATGTTCCCCTTGAAAGTGCAACATAAAGTTGACCATGGCCAAAAACAGGTCTTGGCAAGTAGATACCCACATTCTGTAATGTTTTTCCCTGAGATTTGCAAATTGTTATGGAGAACGCAAGCCTTATTGAGAATTGCCGTCGTTTGAGGATAAATGGCATGTCTCCGTCAGTTGGTTTTAAAGAGATTCTTGGTAGGAGGACTTTTTTTCCTTGCATACCATTATGTAAAATTCCAGCTTCTATAACATTTGGTAGTGCCTTGGTTATAATTAGTTTAGTGCCATTACAGAGGCCTTTTTTAGTGTCAATGTTGCATAACAACATTACAATACATCCGATTTTTATCTGTAACTTTTGTGGAGGCATTCCAGATGGTGTTACTGAGTTTAAGAATTCTACAGGATAGTCCAACATTTCTTCTTCCAAATCTGTTTCTACAATGTCAATGCTTCTGTATGTTATTGTTCTGCTGGTCATTCTCGAAAGAACTTGGTCGTTCATTTTTAGAGAGAGATCATTTAAAGTCATGAGAATAGCTTTCTGCAATAGGTTTGGGTCATTTGGTTGTATATGCTATCCAAACACATTATCTATCATTTGTTCTCTGGATGTCAATGTTAGAGGTAATTTTATAATCTCTTGGTTGAATCCTTGGAGGCTAGGTAGGTTACCATTTCTGAGCTTCACAAGGCATCTAGACCATTCCTTTTCTTCAGAGTTCACCCTCATGTTTGTATGTAATGAGAACTTTACAAGTTTCCACCATATTGGTGAGGATTTCACATTGTTTTGGATAATTTGTGTGCAACAGGCTCTTTTTAGAACAGAAAATGTCTGTCTTAAATCTCCTCCTGTTACTAATGTGATGCCACCGAATTCTGTATCACAGTTTTTTATGTCACGCAAGACCCTCTCAACAGCTTTAAAAGCGTGAACAGGTACCATGCTTATTTCGTCCCATATGAGCAGGTCAGCTCTTCTTATGACCTCGGCAGGTGCTAAATTCTCTCGTAGGTCCAAGGTGCATGTTTCTGTGATTACTGGAAGCTTAAATGTTGAATGAGCCGTTCAGCCTCCTACAAGAAGAGTACTCGCTATTCCTGTCCACATGACTGCTAAGACTTTCATGCCATAAGCAGTGACATGGTTTATCAACATGTTAAAAAGGTATGATTTCCCTGTGCCTCCCACACCATCAACAAAGAATAATCTGCTTGTTTCTTTTTTGTTTTGTATTGCATTTAAGACGTTGTTAAATATGTGAAGCTATTCCATGTTCAATTTCGTTTTTAGTAATTCAACTTCGTCAGGTGTGCATGGCACACAGCTTATTTCAGTTGTTGTTTCATTATCTCCTATAAACTCTGAATCTGGTAACTCGTAGTCAGACAGTTTCTTGCCATGTTCCTGGAGTAATATTGACATTTCATGCAATCCATGTTGCATTGCTGCTTCATAGTTGTTGTGATTTTGGACCAAGTCTTCACACATGCCTTCCTTGACTTTATCCCATAGTTTTTTGGGATCAATGAGCTCGCAAAATAAACACATGACACTGAATAGATACCTTACTTTTGCAGGCATCTGAAATGTCTAAACATTTCTCCCACTCACAATCATCCTGTAGAAGTCCCATTTCTTGTGCGGTAGAACAGTATGTGTCATATGCAACACCGTTTAATACCTTTAAATCACTAAAACTTGTAGCACCTTTTTTGTAGAGCAAGATCATACGTAGGTAGAAACGTTCAAAGTCATGCGGTGATAGGAACAAATATTAGAGTAATCTTTAAAGTTTAAATTTTTTAGCATATTCATTTCAAAAATTTATGGTTAGTGTGCTAACATTCTACCGACCACCTTGAATGCACGTTGGCGTGGTGTCCACATTCTGTTTCTTGAATTCCATGTATACCACTCAGGAATCTCATGGTACAAGAGTGTCCTTGTAAATTCATCAATCTTGTTTAGTTCAAACCATTTTGTCAATTTGGTTTTACGGCCTCTTTGTAATGCAATCTCTTCCTCACCATCATTGAAATAAATATTTTGAAGGTTTTCCAGGTGGATGTCCAGTCTCTCAATAGAATGTGATCTCCCATGTAAGTCATATCCATAGATCCTTCTGATGCGGAGACATAGCAGCAGTTTCTGAAAGCCTCTATTTTGTCCCAGTCTAGTACTTGTTCAGATGTTGAGTTCTCATCCCTTCGAAGGCGTACCTCCACACAATCATGTCCCTTGTATATGTATTTGAATTTGACACTTTTTACAGTGGAACACACCTCGACATTTATGTGTCTCTGTATTTACGTAAGAGGTACTTGTTGTATGGCATAACAAACCTGTTGTCAATGGGTTTATTCTTTATTAGGACTGTATGTCCTTGGCACCTTCTATACTCTGGAAACTGACCATGGACATTCTGTGTTTCTTCACAGTAATCTCTTGGGTAGCATGACTTACATTCACCATCCTTCGTGCATGGGCTGTCTGCAAATTCAGGCCCACAAGGGCCATGTATCATGTGCTTTTTAACCAATTCATATAATTCTGGGTGTATTCTGGCATCTGGTATTTCGGCGGTAACTATATTGTCTATGTTGTCGATAGTTCTGATTTTATTATCTTTACCAAGGATCACAAAATATGACAGTGTGGCAGTCCTCTTTTCTGGAATTCAATCACATAGACATAAGCATTGACCTGGCCAAATATTTCTTGTTTGTAAATGTCATCTATGAGTTCTTGTTTCTTGATATGGAATACACGTGCAATCAAGTCAGGTCTGTCTGCAGTTGTTTGTCCAGGTAGAAGGTTTTTAGTGATCTCTTTCCATTTAGGATTGCAGGTGAATGTTATGAACAAATCAGGTTTTCCATACTTCCTTACAAGGCTCATGGCATCCTGGTATTTCTGATTCATCTGTCGCGGGCCTCCAGTGAATGAGGATGGAAGTATTATTAGTTTTCCAGCACGTACCCCTTGCTGTTCGGCTCTGTTTTTTACGAAATCTGAGAGGCCACTATATGCTTCAGCACGTAGCTCACGTTGGTAACACTTTATTCAGTGCCCTTTTCCCATCAAGTTCATTCATCTTAAATCATTTCCTTCGTTACATTCGGCAATAAGATATTATTCAGCAACCCGGGTTGTGCTGCAGCACGGATTGCATGTGTTCTTTAGCAGTGATGTACTTGCAAAGCTCAAGAGCTCACTCATTATCAAAAAGTTATGAAGTCATGCTCTGCCCAAGTTCTCTCACCTTTAAATAACGGTTAGCATTGTGGACTATTAGATCCTTCTATGGGCTTTCGTTTTTTTGTGAAGCATTCATCTGTATGCAAACTCGGGATGCAAGCACCTGAAAAGGTTGGATTTTCAATTAGTTTCAGATGATGGAAAGCCAAGTTTACATTGCTAAGTTCACACTCCATTGATTGAAGGAGTTGATTCCCCAGATAAATCCCTGCACCACGACCCAGTGCTCATACAAAGCTAGAAGCTGGTCAACTGTACATAGCTTTAGAGTTGGTAGCAACATGCTCAAGACTGGACGATTGCTGGTGAATTCTTGCAGACTTTCACCTAACATGCTAGATAACTGTAGAGCAGCAACGAAAGAACATTCAAGAAGCCTTTTAAGATCCTACTCTTTATTTTGTAGAAAATTCAGCACTTGGCTCTCCAAATTTGCAGCATGCCGGGACTGCATTGCAATGTGTTGGGATTTCTGGTATCCAAGATGTGTGCAAGTATGCACAGATTTTGAGGAGGTTTAGAAGGTAGTGGATCTAAACTACAAGTGATAGACACTGCTTGATTCTTATTATAATGAGGCTTATAACATTAACTTTGGCCAATCTTGCTAAACAATAGACTATGGCCGATTTAGTAAAGGGATGATAAGCTGTAAAACTCAGTTCTCATGAGATTCTTACAACTTGCTTCTGAAAGTCTTCATGTTTTGCCTTTGTGCTTCGCAAATCTTCCTTAGCTTGCTTGAGCTGTATAAATAGGAACGACATCTGTCATATGTAACGTTAAAAACAACAACCTTCAAGTGATGTTCTTGTCAGGAATGGAAGGGGCAAAATCCTTGAGGATCAATGCATTAGTTTTGGCAGGGTTGGCAACCACCAAATTTCAAATGCTGATACGTTTTATATTTAGATGTTACCTTCAAGTCCTTGGCAGCACACTTTTCAAGAGCAGAAGCTTGAGACTTATAGATGGAGATAGGCTATGCCATCAGGACTTTCAAGGAGGAGCTGCCTGTTCTGTTCCACAGAGATCTGAGTTAAGTCAGGTGTACCTCTCAGCTCCCACACTGCTGCGAGGTGATCAAGGCGATGGACAAGCTGACTAAAAAGTTGACCAAGATGGTGGACAAAACAGGAGCACTTTACATCGGAACACTCCAGGAACCAATGGCACCTGATGGTGAGACCGAGCAGCTGTTCCAGAAGATTGAGAAGTCCCCAGTTTGTGTCTACAGCACATCCAAACAGGAACTGGAGGAGATCCGCATGGCTCTGAGCTCGAACCCAATGTATCTAGTGATGGCAGTGCCGGATGCAAAGATTGCGAGTAGCATGTGCAACTCCAGCGAGGTTCTCATCACTGTTAACTTCCAGAAAGCTTGCAAGGACAGGAGCATCGAGTTCTACACATCAAAGAATGTCTTGATCTTCAGTAGTGGCTCCATACCGGTCAAGTACTTCAAGCAGGTGGTGAAACTGCCAAGCAACAAACTGCTGCTCTAGCTCCGGGCAAGGGGCC